ATGACACATAGACCATGCTTTGGGTATTGTTTTTTAAATGAGGGGGGTGGGTAAGACCTAAACTCAGACAAAGCTTTATAATTTACAGAGTGTTTCCAGGTACATTACATTTATTCTCCTTAGTCACTGTGATGTTGGGTTTTTATTATCTCCATTTAAAATCACAAACCTTGTTGGCTACTCTTAGATTCAATCTGGTCAGTACTAGGGTGGAGCGAGAACTAAGACCTATGGTTTCCTATCTAGGATGCTTTCAGTTATTCCACGGTGCTGCCCATAAGGATTCATAAAACCTACAAATTTAAGCTGATTCTATTTTAAAATTCTTCATATTTATTTTGAGGTGAAGGCCTAACTTTCATGTGGCCTGCAGGTCAGTAGGAATCCGATATCCTTTTTTTTTTTTTTTTTTTTTTTTGTCTCTTAGGCAGAGGGCCAGAGAAACAGTCCACATGAGCATTCGTGGTCTTTAGGCTCAGTCTCTTTCAGTCCAATGTGTGTTTTTTGGGTATTTGCTTGTACTGGGTGCTGGAGATGCAATACTGAACAAGACAGATACTAGTCCTGTCCTCATGACAATTCACATCCAATGGAGGAAGCAATTATAATAGAGGCCAAAGAGCTACAATTATAAAAGATAGCTTTTTTTTTTGCAGTGCTTATTTTCAAGCTTTTCATATTCTTCTTTCATGGGTAAGGAAACCAAGACTTGACAATAGCACACAGTGATAGAAGTAAGTATTTTTTTTCCACCAAAAAAAATAAGCTTTTTATTGGCAAAACTTCCCATGTTAGTGTAGATTAAATGCTATTTGATGAAAAGATGACAATGAAGTTAATTGAACTTTTTTTTCCATTGGATTTTTCTTCAGTATAGCTGGAGAGGAAGCCCTGGGATACCAAAAATCCATGCTTGCTGAAGTCCCTTATATAAATTGCAAAGTATTTGCATATAACCCAGGAACATCCTCCCACACATTAAAACATCTCAAGGTTACATGTGACACTAATATGACATGGACTGGAAGTATGACTCAAACAGTAGAACGCCTGCTTTGCAAGTGTGAAACCCCTGAGTTCAAATCCTAGTCCCACTCCCCAAAAATATTCTAATTCAAGGTAAATGCTATCTAAATAGTAATTACACCATATCATTTGGGGGATGGGATAATGGCAAGAAAAATATCTATACTTGGTCAGGACAGACACAATTATCTTTTGAATATTTTTGCTCTGTGGTTGGCCCAATCCAATCCAGAGATGTGGAACCTGTTGGTATAAAAGCAGGGCTGTTTGCTTCAAGAGAAAAATCTGGAAGCCTGTAGGGTACAGTGTATTAATAATCTGGGTGGCTTAGCTCATGGTAATTGGCATACGGATATCTGTTGTAATTTGCACTCCAGTTATTCAAACTGAGATATTCTTGGCCCGGTGGCACACACTGTGAGTAGAAGACCTCCTTCCTGAGGCAGGGAGGCAGGGAGAGCCTTTGCACGATGGCCTCGCTGAATTGGTAGGTGAGCTTCCTCCTGATCCTGATGACCTCCCCAGTCCTTGCATAATTCCTTAGGGCTCCGGTCATGGCCTTCCAGTTGCCTTTTCTTTTCCTCCCAAAGTTCAGCAAGTTTTTCCTTGTTTTTTGACACAAACTGAAAGATGCCTTTGTTTTTATCAACCCACTGGATGCAAGATGTCATCTCAGGATTGAGCAGGGATTGGTAAAAGTATTCAAACAGTCACAGCTTCTTCAGGCCTATTCCTCCCTTTTGAGGTAAAACAGCAGGTGGTACCAACTGGCTTTCAGCTATGTTCTACAGAGAGTGATGGATATTTCCTTCAAGATAAAAGTCACAGCACTGTTTATTACAGTTCTCCAATTACAGACAGGCTCTTCTGCAGGTAAGACTCCATAGCAGTTGGAATTTCCTCTGATGTGAGGACAATGGTAAATGAAAGACCAGTAATCTTTGTAATCTGGGGAGAACTGAAGGTCAGCAGTTGAATGTTGCCTCAGTACCTCCAAAACATCCTCAAGTGCTTGACCCAGCTTGTGCTGTTCAACAGGACTCATGCTTCACTAATAAACTGGAGGAACCTCAGTGGTAGAGTGCTTGCCTAGCATGCACAAGGTCCTCGGTTCAATCCCCAGTACTGTCCATTCAAGTCCAATGTCGCCTCCATTTGCACAAGTGGAAACAAGTGGCTCTTCTCTGAAACACATGTCATTCTCACCTAACCTGCAGCCTGCCATTTTAATAGTTTTTATTTGGCCAGGGGGAAAACCACGAGGCAGAAGTAAGGTTTTAAATCCAGCTGCTTTTAGTGACTTTGTGGGTATGAAGGCCTAGTGTCAAGGAACAGCACACCCACCGACAACTTCAGAACACAGGGGTCATGTAAAAAAGATCTGACAAACTGCTGTAGCGTGGAAACCAGACATCCATCCCTCTGCATCCCAGGTCTTGCAAAACTGGGCCTAGCACTGGCCATCTCTTTGCTCGCCTCTCCACCTCTACTGCTAAACACTTTGGTTTATTCCTACCCTGTATATACAGTATACCTCTGTTTGGCACGGGCTCTTTTGTTCTTGATCATATATTACTGCCTTCCTCACATGTCAGCTTCTTACTTACTGCCTTTGTGTGTGTGAGGACATGTGTGTGTGCTGGAGTTCAGACCCAGGGCCTTCTGCATGTCAAGCAAGCACTCTACCACTGAGCTACAACCCCAGGTTTACTCACTGTCTTGCTGCTAAGGTTCAGGTTTAGTTTTAAAGAATACACAGGGTTAAAGCTATAGAATGGTGTACAGAAAGATTTAGATCTTTCTTTAGATCTTTACAGTGTTAGATTTCTGTCACTGTGACAAAATACCTGAGATGGTCTGCTTAAAAGGAGGAAAGAATTGGTTTGGCTCATGGTTTCAGAAGCATTCAGTTCATGGTCCCATGACCATGTTGCTTTGCTCCTGAAGTGAGACAACACCATGGCAGCAGTGTGTGACATAATAGAGCTACCCATGGCAACCAGGAAGCAAAGAAGTGGGGGAGCTGGAGTTAATGTGCGCTCCAAGGGCACACATCCAGCGACCTAACCTCCTTCCACCAGGCCCCTCCTTCTACGGGTTCCACCACCTTCCAGTAACACCACAGGCTGAGCTCAGACCAAGCCTTTGGCATGTGGGCCTTTGCAGACATTTAAGATCCAAACCATAATATTCCCTGATGCTGTGGGTTTGAGGGGTTTTTTTTGGTGGTACTGGGGCTTGAACTCAGGAGCTTGTGCTTGCTAGACAGGCATTCCAACACTTGAGCCACACCCCACCCTGTTTTTGAAGGGGTCTATGGGACTGGCAGGTAGAACACAGGCTCTTCTCTCCAGGAGAGTAGCACTGAATTATGTCTTTGTTTCAACTCCGTCATCCTATCTCCACCATGAGAAAGAGAAAGTTCTGTTTTGTTCTCTATATTCTCAGCACATAGTAGGTACTAAGTACATATTATTGAATAAACAAAGCAAGTACAGTTATTACTAGAGGCATAGAGTGTATTTTGTCATCTAATGCTTTATTGATACTAAAGGGATTTGGTTTAGACCCTAGAGAAGTTGATCAAATTCAAAATGTTTGGTAGACCCAGCCTGACATGGAGAAAAATCCTAATAAGAGAAGGAGAGAGGGGGAAACTAAATTTAGAACTTTAATATAAAGTTAGCATGTTTAAATTTAGTTTAGTGCTTATGTCATGAGGATTCACCCTAGATGGCTGAAATTACATGGAAGCCAACAAGAAGAAACAGAAATCATGATAATTGAGAATTTACTGAACAAGAGCCAGGGAACAAAAATAAGTTAGGAGAACTTCATGGTCTCCAGTGGTCAGCTTCCTAGAAGAGCATATGGATTTGCCAGAATTCTCTCCACTATTTTCATATTTCCCTGCACATGTCTTACCAAGTGACTCAATATAAATGCGCCCAGACTTGGCACTGCATAGAGACGAGATGGTAAGTTGTGACCAGAAGCATCTCCACCAACAATACAGCGAATCTTTGTTTTACTCTTTAGGGTTTTTGTTTATTCGTTTGACAGTACTAGGGATTGAAGTCAGGGCCTTGTACTTGCTGGGCAAGTGCTCTACCACCCAAATCACTCTGCCAGCCCTTTTTGCATTGGTTACTTTAGAAATAGGGTCTTGTTTTAAGCCTGGGCTGGCCTGGACCACAGTCCTCCTATTTGTGCTTCCTGCTTAGCTGGAATGACAGGCATGGATAACCACACCCCTAGTCATTGCTTGAGATAGGGTCTCACGAATATTTTGCCGGGTTAACCTCCAAACATGATGATCCCAGTCTCTGCCTCCCAAGTAGCTAGGATTACAGGCTTGACCCATAGAGCCCAACTCACAGTGAATCTTTAGCTATCCAAAGGAAAGGAAAGAAAATAGCATTAGTTCATGTCTTCTCAGGAACATTAAGCACTTTACTTTTGTTCCTTAATCTTTAAACATCTGAATGAGGTTGGTGGTATATCTCTTTAAAAGTGAGGCCAGTAGAATATAAGTTGTCAAATTTAAACAGGGATCACACACATGCACGGCCCCCCACAACACATCTGTTTTTACTCCAAAGACCATATGTTGCCCTTCTTGTTGAAAAAAAATATATTAAATGTCTTCTGAGCTAATGTTAGTTGTTTGCATTTACTATTTCTGAAATTTTACTTAGTATGTATTTATTTATGTGAGCTGATGGGGAAGTGATTGCTGTACACAAGTGAAATCAGTGTCTGTGTCTGGTGTCCATGAAATTGGTGCTCACGGTTCATTGCTCAGCCCAGTAACTAGAGAAACGTTTTTCTAATTTGGGGTCACTTGAAATGGATCCAGTATACATATTTTGTTTATTTCAAGTGAGTGGAAAAGGTGATCCCGGAATCTCTTGGTTTCCTTTTCAAAGAAAGTAAGGTCTACTCGATTTTCTCCTCTTTTTTCTTTTCTTCAGACTCCTGTCAGAGGATGTAGGAATGGACATCCCCTTTGAGGAGGGAATGCTGAGTCCCAACACTGCAGACATGAGGCCTGGTGAGAGAAGCGTTTGCTCATTTCCTTCAGTGTTCATGTCCATGCCATTTCCGTTATTCAGCGAGAGGACCATTTTCTATGCTTTCAATTTGTGATTTCACTGATAAAAGTGAAAAGAAAAAATGTGTGAGAGAAAGGTGTTGGGCTCCGCTTGGTTAATTTCAGAGTCAATTTGAATGTTGACAATCGCTAGCTTTTTGTCTTGAACCCCAGTGTCACCTGCCAGGGTTTTCTGTTCCTATGGTAACTGGCTTTTATTCTGAGCAATGTCTAAGTTCATGTAATTTATATGTAATAGTGAGAATGTTTAAAACTTGAAATGTGATATCAAGAATGCTCAGTATTCTAATTATGCAAAATTAGCTTAGTGGTAGACGGCTTGCCTAGTATGTGCAAGGCCCTAGATTTAATCCTTAGCACTGGAAACAAACAAAAAACACCCCCCAAACAATCTTACATCATAAGTGTTTAACCCCAAGTTATACACAAAAGGAATTTCGAATTTTCAAAATTCCTTCTTCCCTCTCGCTTTGCACTGGAGTCACTCCCTTGTAGTGGTTTTTGGTGGAGGCCAAATCACTGCTGGCAGCCATGTCTGTGATCTAACAATGTCACCATTCTTCTCTTCTGCAGAACCTCCTAACTCTCTGGATCTTAACGGTACTCATCCTCGGAGAATCAAGCTCACAGCCCCAAATATCAACCTTTCTCTGGACCAAAGTGAAGGATCTGTTCTCTCTGATGATAACTTGGACAGTCCAGATGAAATTGATATCAATGTAGATGAACTTGATACTCCTGACGAAGCAGATTCTTTTGAGTACACTGGTCATGGTAAGTCACTAAGTTGCTGAGGCCAAAGTTAAGTAGATATAAGGTTGTCTAAGTGGTATTAGGAACAAGCATCTCATTTTTGTGTCAGTGGCTCCTTTCTGTGATTTCTAGAAGCTTCTGTTTGTATCTCCATTATAGGTGGCCAGGACTGACAGAGGGTGGTCTGTCCTGTACAGTGGCCAGAGGTCATTCCTAACCATTGCTCTTTTAGCAAACTCTTAGTCTGTGTGAGGCCTTATGCTAACACTAGTGGGTGAGGGAAGGGAGTTACCTGTCCTGTTGTAGGGCTGGATTTGCAGAGAAAGAGAATTTAATCTGGAAGATAAAATTTGAAGAGGAGAAATTGGGACTTATCGAATTGTCTGAGCACCTGCTGTCTGGAATGTTTGTTCTTCCACACCCTTTCATGACAGGCTCCTTCTCTTTTCTCAGACCTTTGTGAGATGTCACCTCCCCAAAAGGCCTTCCTGGACCTTTGCAGTCAAAACTGCTGTCCATCCCCTACTCCTCCCACCCCAACCCACTCTATCCCGGTATTCACTTCATTTCCCATGGTCCCTAGTTTAAATTATGTCGTTGAACTATTTTTTTTTCTTATTTGTTTTTATGATTGTTACCTTTCGTTTACCACTGGAATATAGGCTTCAGCAGAGAATTTACTATATTTGATGCTATCTTTCTAACAAAGTAAGGAGGATGAAGGGAAGGAGTGGGAGAGGTATGGAAAAAATAAAAAGGAAGAAAATTAAAAGTTGCCAGGTTAAAGACTGACGTTTCTGATATAAATATCAGTCTCACTTTACTTCTAGCCCTTGCACGATGATGTTTGGTTTGTTAAGAAGTATGCACAAAGTCAGGTGCCATTGGCTCACACCTATAATCCTACCTACTCAGGAGGCAGAGATCAGGAGGATCTAGGTTCAAAGCCAGACTGGACAAATGGTTCACAAAACCCTATCTTGAAAATACCCAATACAAAGCAGGGCTGGCAGAGTGGCTCAAGTGGTAGAGCACCTGCCTTGCAAGCATGAGGCCTCAATATCACCACACACACACAAAAAAGTATATACAGATATAAAGCATTACTTCAAAATCTAGCATCATATGGTTTCTGTTTCAGTTTCACTTTTAGCCAGGTGGCTTTCTCTGAAGTTAAAATTTATAGTCAAAGTGAACAATTTTGTCCATGGCCATTTTTTTCCTCATTGTAAAAATTCCTGTAGTCTTAAAAAGCAACACCACAACCAAACAACACCCTGACTTTTACAGACATGCCTATTCCAGCAGCTCTACTCACAGGAGAACATAATTAGGAAATTCATCAAATTGGCTAATTAATTCAACCAATGGTCTGTCATTCAACTCTGGGGCTACACAACGATCAGATTTAGATTTAGGCTCTCGTCACTGAATTTAAGGCTTTATTCTTCAAGTCCAAAAAAAAAATTGGTACAATACTTGTTGTAAAGTTTATTATGCCTAAGTAGAGGTTTTATATTTTATTTTTCTCATTTTCAGGAATTTCTATACAGTATTCCCATGGCAGATAGGTTCCAGAACCCCAAATAGATACGAAAAACTGAGGAGGCTCAAGTTCCTTAAAAATGACATAGTATTTGCATAAAGTCTACACGCATTCTTCATGCACTTTAAATCATCTCTAGATTAATTATAATATCCAATATGATGTAAATAGTTTTGTTGTTTAGTGAGTAATGACAAGGAAAAAATTCCATGGATATTTGGTACAGATGCAAACTCTCCTCTTCCCCGATGTTTTCTATCTGTACTTGGTTGAATCTGGGAATGGGGAAGCATGAATAAAGACAGCAACTGTAGTTATTTGGATATTTGATCTTAGCGCTTACAATAAACAAATATGAAGTGAAAGACAGTCTTGAATTCGTTATTTGTTTCTGCCACCCCAGAGTCTTCCCCTGCTACTCCGTCCATGCCAGCTGCCCTCAGCTATGCTAGCTCTTTTCCGGCTAATAAATGTTGACTTCGAGTCTCACAGAAGACAGCTGTGGCATGACACTGCTGGTTCCTCCTCCCCTCCACCCCTTCACTTTCCTGTTGCCTTGGAGAGCTTTGTCACATCACATCTGAACCTTTAATTTTTATAAATAGTAAAACTGTCAGGGAAAGTGGTGGTGGCTGAGCAAGCTGTAATTAAAGCTGCCACTTGCTGACATCGTTCTTTTATTTAGTTGGCATAGTTAAATTGAAAGAACCAGTTTAATGGTCACAACCCTCCTTCTAGGTCTTAAACTCAAAAGAAAGAATGTTAACATAAGTTGAATTCTAAACTTCACCTTGATTTTCAAATGAAAGGTGTATATCTGGAAATGTTTTATACAACTAGGCAAGCAAAAATATTAACTAGTGAAAACACAAGGTACATTTGAAAAGCTATATTTTGTAAACATACTAAATTAGTTTTGGGGTTTGTCTTGGGTTTTTGTTTTGTTTTTTGATGGATAGGAGTTTGAACTCAGGGCTTTATGGCTTGAGCCGTACCTCCAGTTCATTTTGCTCTGGTTATTTTGCAGGTGGGTTCTCACAAACTGTTAGTCCAGGCTGGCCTTGATCCTCCTGATCTCAGCTTCTCAGGAAGCTAGGATTACCATCATGAGCCATCGGCACCTGGCTTTGTTTTGCTTTTAATGTTCTCTAACACAAGTCCTAGAAACTTAAAAATATTCAAAGATCAGGGGAAAAAAATCATGACCTCTTTTTATTTTTCAAGCCAATCACCTAGTCATTTTTGCCATAATTCGGATCTCAGCAAAGGCATTTAATAAGGGAAGTAGAAAAATGGTCATTTTCACTTGCATATTTCTGATAAGATAGTTACAGGAAGCACGCATGTGCTCTTACACTTTATTTCTGAGACTCACAGGTGATGTGTACTGACCTCAGCTAAAGTGCCTTTTCCAAAATAGCCCTTTATGGCAGGTTTTCTGGGTTGTTAAAGCATCCCACATCATTTCCCCATAGTCAGGGAGTCACTTCATTTAATGTCCTTATTCATGGTCTTCTGTATTTTCCCAGCCTACAGGCAAGTCCTGTTTTAACTCTGCATGTGAACTAGTCAAGTGTTAAGTGTGCCGTGTTTTACCCACAAGCAGCCCTGTGTTGTGATGATGTTTTCTCAATGATGATTTTCTTTCATGCTTTTTATGCTGAGATTTTACACTCAGATTAACTTCCTGACTGCTGTCTATTCCCAAACAATTTTCAAAGACTTTTTAACTGTGCACTGGATGTCTTTGCTATAAGAAGAAAAAAATTCAAATATAATTTCTTCTACGAGTAATTGTATTATTTGGGTAATATAATATAGAAAGCTAGCCACCTTCACAAATGCACATCTCCCTAGCTAGTCCATTGTGAGCACCAAGAATGGATTCGCCGTTGTGGTCTGTGTAGCACAGAACATTCAAGAGCTTGTGTGCTAAATCATCTCAGAAAGATACAAGGAAAAGTTCAAGTTGACTCCTTTGTGTGAGGTGCTTTAATTGTGTTTCACAAAGAGAAAGCTTATCACTGAGAAAAGGAACTAGGCTTGACACTAAAACTCAGAGGCCCTGGAGACAGAGAGTTAAACGAGATCTGAACATTTTGCAAGCAATCAGAAAATGAAGGCTGGAAGGAGATGATTGTTTATAGTTATAGCAGAAGAATTACTAAGATCAGGGAGTGATTGCTAACTGAAGGGAGTCAATAAAGTTACCTTCTTCTCTTAATAGCTTGTATTGTTGACTTCTAGAAGCAAAAGCCTTAAGAAAAGGTAATATACTCCTAGTTCTTTTGTCTGTTTTAATTCATTTATTCATATGTGCATACATTGTTTGGGCCATTTCTTCCCCTTGGCACCCCCCCATTTGTTTTGTTTTTAACTGTTGGTGCTGGGAATTGAATCAGGACCTTAACTAGACTAGGCAAACACTCTACCACTGACCCACATTCCCAGTTTTACCTGAAATTCTTAAATAATTCTTTTTTTTCCTCCCATTTATGTTAGTCAGAAGGGAAACAGAAATAGGAGCCCCCGCAGCTTGCCAGATCCCATATTCTGAAACATTAGAAACAACAGCTCATAAGAATTTCAGCCCCAAACATTTATGGTAAAATGAGTAATAATACTGCTTTTAAAAAGAAACAGAAGGCAGGGTGTGGTAGTTCATGTCTGTAATCCCAGCTACTTGGGAGGTGGATCGGGAGATCATGGTCTAAGGCAGACCCTGGGCAAAAACACAAGAACCTATCTGAAAAACAACTAAAGAAACAAAGGATTGTGGGTTTGGCTCGAGTAGTAGAGTGCCCACCTAGCTAGTGCAGAACACTGAGTTCAAACCTTAGCGCAGCCAAAAAAAAGTAAAGAAAGAAAGAAAAGAAATAGTAGGAAAGTGTGTGTGTGTGTGTGTGTATACACATACAAGCTGTGAAGATGGAGTGTCCTTTCTTACTATGATATTATAATAAAAGTATAACTGAAAAGTTAACACAGTTATATGACATTTTTATATTCTGTTTGGCAAAAAATATGGAATATACATATAAATATAAAAGCTAAGCAAAAGGCAAAAAATAATTGTAACACTTGTCAAACTTCACCAGATCACCAGACTACCACAGGCAAAGGACTTAGCAGGTGCCTTTATGTCAGTGAGAGAAATAGGTATAAACAGACAAAAAAACATTAAAAATTTGTCACCTTTTTAATAGTTAAAGAAATTCACATTAGAACAAAAATGAGGTTATGTCCATCTTAAAGTGTCAAGGGATAAATCTTTGATGCCCTCCAGTGTTATGACAATGGAAGGAAACAAGCACTCACATACTGTCGTGTGTGACATATTCAAGGACAAAAATATTCTAAAAACCCCCAAATGCTTGTACCCACTGGACCCAGAACTCCATCACTGAAAAGTTGCCCTGCAGCAACACAGGCACAAATGAGTTAAGATACCTGTATGAAGATACTTACTGAAGCAAATTCTTTATTTAAAACAAGTAATAATAACAAAATGGAATAAAACTAAATTTCTAGCCAGGCATGATGGTGTATGCCTATAATCTCAACACTCAGCAGGCTGAGGTAGGAAGACCACAAGTTCAAGGCCAGCCTGGGCTACACAGCAAGACCTGGCTAAAATGAACATAAATGAACAAGATTTATATTTCTTGAGATGAAAAGATGCTTATGTCATACTATTGGGTAGGATCAAATTATAGAACACCACATATGGAACACATGGAATAATCACACTGATTGAAAAAAGCATGTGCACAGAGGAGGAGTAACCCATACCACAGAATAACGAGTGGGAGCGGCTTTGGTAAGTTCCTCTATTCATGAGCAATTTCTGTTTCACTTGTACTTCTTTTCAACTAATAAGCTTTATTTTAAGAGTACTTTTGGGTTCTCAGCAAAATTGAATGGCAAGTACTGAGTACTCCTCTTCAGCAGTTTTTTTTTTTTTTTTCTTCCTGGCAGTGCTGAAGTTTGAACTCAGGGCCTCACATCTGCTAGGCAGGCACTCTGCAACTAGAGATCTAGCTCATCTTCCCCACACTCCCCACCTCCCTCTCTTGCTACTTGCTGCACCAGAATGCCACATTTGTTACAACTGATTGGCCCACATGGATGTCATATAACTCCAGCTGGGGGCACACTCAAGGTATTATCCACCAGGAGAGTATCACCCAGAGTACTTTCACTGCCCTAGAGATCCTCTGTGCTCTGCGTGTTCATCCCTCCCTCCCCACTAGTCCCTGGCAGCCACTGATACTTTTACTGTCCGTCTAGCTTTGCCTCCAGAGTGTCAAATGAATGGAATCATATAGTAACTTGTCTTTTCAGATTGGCTTCCTGAACTTATTCATGTAACCTTCCTTCATGTCTTCTCATGTCATGTGAACTCATTTTCTTTCAGCCCTTCATATTATTGCATTGTATGGAAGCACCAGTTTATCTTTCCATTCACCAACTGAAGGACAGCTTGGTTGCTTCCGAGTTTGGGCAATTATGACTGAGCCTGCTATAAACATACACATGCAGATTTTTGTGGGGATATGCATGTCACCAAGGATTATGATTGACAGGTCATATGATTAGAGTTTGTTTACTTTTGTAAGGAAGCAAAAAAGTGCCAGTGTCATTTTGCCTTCCTACCAGCAATGACTGAGCGTTCAAGCTATTCCCCATCCTCACCAGCATCAGGTGCTGCCAGTGTTGTGGACTTGGCCACTCCAGGAAATCTGTAGTGGTTTCTCACTATTGCCTTAATGACATGTCATTAAATACGTCATTATCCCCTAATGACATATTATGTCAGACATTAATTTATATGCTTACTTGCTATCTATATATCTGCTTCTTTGATGAGGTATCTGTTCGGGTCTTGTGTGTGTGTGTGTGTGGTGCTGGGAATTGAACCCAGAGCTCTCTGCATACAAGGCAAATATTTTACCACTAAGCTATATCCTCCATACTTTATTTTGCCTATACTAATCAAGTTATTTACTTTCTCATGGTTGCAAATAGAGTTTGAGTATTCTTTGTATATTTTGAATAACAGTCTTTTACCACATGTGTGTCCTGAAAATATTTTCTCTCAATCTGTGTCTTGTCTTCTTACTCTCTTGATATTGTCATTCACAGAGCACAAGTTTTTAATTTTAATGAAGTCTAGTGTATCAGTTATCTAATTCATAGATCATACCTTTGGTGTTATATCTAAAAAGTCGTCTTCAAGGCTAGGCATGATGGCATGCACCTGTATTCCTAGCTACTTGGGAGACTGAAGTGGAAGGATTAATCAAGCTAATTGGTTTGAGACCATCCTGGGCAACAATAGTGAGACTCTGTCTCAAAGAAAGGAAAAGTCATGTCCATATCTGAGGTCAATTAGATTTTCTCTTATGTTATTATCTAGGAGTTTTTAGATCTATGTTCTATTTTGAGTTAATTTTTGTGAAGTCTAAGATCTACATCTGGATTCATTTTTTTTGCATGTGATGCCCAGATGTTCCAGAACCACTTGTTGACAAATCATCTTTGCTCTATCATATTGCCTTGGCTCCATTGCCAAAGATCGACTGATTTTTGTGTGATGTTCATTTTACTTTCATAACCAGGATAATGAATGTGTGTTTTGTTTTTGTTTTCGTTTTGTGAAGCAGCTTCAATACAAGTGTTCAGGGAAAAGCAAAACTAAACACCTTGCACCCCACAGAGATCACCAGGGTCAAACTAGAGCAGGCCAGAGAGTAGCAAACATGGTTCAGAGGGTTTGGTGGATGGAGAGTTCATTGCCACAAGGCCATGTGTGTACATGAACATCAGAAGACAAACCCACATCAGAGCCCAGATTCTAAGGGAGCAGAGACAAGATGAGAAGTGAGGTCCCAGCAAGGGAGTAAGATTAAAAACTAAAGTTCCTAACCCAAGGAGAAAAGAAACAGGAAGGGATTCCAGACAGATGGACAGATTTGCACAAGTGACACAGTGCTTGATTCAAAGCTAGAGTTGCTGCTTCTGTCCTTACTGAGCTACTGGGGACACAGTGGAACCAGGGCTCTGTAGGTGGTGGTAGCTGTTGGTATTGGCAAAAAAAAAAAAAAAGCTAGGACTGCTTCCTGATGGCACTTCATTTTTCTATTCTAAAGCTTAAGTAATTAGGTACTTCAGATGTTTAATAATTGCAGAATCTTCTGGGGTGTGATAGCTTTCCTGGACTGACTTGCAGGTTACCCAGAAACTTGCTCATGCTTTCTTTTACTTACCAAGTCACCTTTTGGTTTGTGTGGACTCAGTAGGTTTCCAAGCTGAGTGCAGGATGAGTTGGTGGAGGTGAGTATTAAAGGTGACTCAGCCACAGTTTCTTTACCCAAGGAGTTCAGTCTCTTGGTAAAATAGTTACGAAGGAAAAGCACAAGGTACAATGTGAGAACTTAGAAGAGTTGCAAAGGTAAAGGTTTGGTGTATATTTGCTCACTATCTGTGATGTGAGACAGTCCACAGTGAAGTCAGTTTTCATATTAGAATAATATCCCTTTTAACATGTACTATCATGCCTGGGACACGGTGGTAGATACTTACTAAAGTATTGCTATTACTCTTATCAGAGTTTCCACAAGGGGAAAAATAAGAATTATAATATCTTAGAATTATTATGAAGGTTATAAATAATCTTTTCCTTGAACATATAAAGAATAACCATTGTTTAACTCTCCTAGTACTTCTAGTAAAAATAGGAACAATTGCTACTTATTCTTGTAAAAAAAAAAAATCATGCTTACTATTTTTGGATGCTTTCCAAAGAATGCTCAGTGGGCTTTTTTTCTGTTGTTGCACTCACACATTTACAAATCTTGTGACTTTTGTACCTTGAAATAGTTCTGGTTTACAAAGTCTCACTATAAAATCTTTCTTTGGTGTATTTTGAAACAATGCATGGCAGTAATATCTATTTATGTTCAAACATACATTCTGTGTTCCCAGTAGGGAAGGGTTTCAACTGTGCTGTGACAGTCTTGGAGCAGGGGTCTGGTAGCATCATCAAGACACTAAGATAAAGGCCCCTCAATACTCTGACCCATCAGGCGATGTGGTTCAATGAAACCAGGATCATCTGGACCTGATAGATAGCCTTTTGCCCCATCAGAAAGACTTGCAGTCTTTAACCTGCACAATCAAGGATGAGTTGGTAGTGGCTCATCCCACCTGGGTGGGCCATGGTTTACCCAAGAGAGCCCTGTCCCTGCTTATCCCTACCTCAGCGTGGCTTCAGCTGTTGATCTGGTTGTTCAATAAAAAAGACTTCACTGAGTGGAGGGTAGGTAGCCAGGACAGTGTTAAGCTCTATAAAGCTTTACACAGCAGGGAGTTCCATTCAGATGACTATGCCAGGGGATCATTTATAATTCGGTCCTTTAGCTACTTCCTCTTGGAGGTCGTGCTCCTTCAGCCCTGCTCTGTGTTTCATTTCCAGAAGATCCCATGGCCAACAAAGATTCTGGCCAAGAGTCAGAGTCTATTCCAGAATATACAGCTGAAGAGGAGCGAGAAGACAACCGGTTGTGGAGGACGGTGGTGATTGGAGAGCAAGAGCAACGGATTGACATGAAGGTCATTGAGCCCTACAGGAGAGTCATTTCTCATGGAGGTACTCAAGTTCTGTGGGAATCCAGGAAATAGGGAGGAGGAAGGCATGTTTTTAACTGGAAAACAAAACTGGGTTCTCATGACATGATATCCCAAAGACCCTATTTTGAGGTCAATGTTGGGGGCATAACTGAGAACTAAGTATGCTATCTGATTCTCTAGTCATTAAAAATTTGAAACCTTACTAGGCCAACACAATTTACCAATGTAAAAAATACTTTTCACTCCACATATCAGACAGCTACAATTTTCTGTAAATTTCTCAGAACCCATAGTTGCAATGTAATAACATCCATTCGGAATTCCTATAAATTGTTTGTACAATTGAACTGAATATAGAGGGTACAACACCATGGCTTGTGGTAAGACCAGGACCACAGAGGGACTTCTAATTACAAAATGGCTTTTGAGTCCTCTTCAGAAGCTGTAGAAAAGCCTTTTACACTCAGCCTGGTAATTATTTTCCCACCTAAAATTTGCTTTTCTATAAACTGTGTTAACTCTAGGTCTGACAACGTTGGATCCAGTTAATTATCTGCTTAGTGTGGGACCTGGGAGAGGGAAACATGTCTTTTGAATTTCCAGTGCTTTCTTGGGGGGGGGGGTGCTCCAAAAGCATATGTGCCCTGATTAATTTGGGACTTAAAAAAAGTCAGATGAGCACAAGTCACACATTGAGCATTGTCGACTTCAGAAAACATCAAGTCTTTGATTTTTCTGGTGCATGCGTTCCTTTCCTGCGATCTTTAGGCGCCTCTCTAACCACCCAGCTGTCCCAGAAAGAGTGCAATCTCACAAGGCAATTGTTGCTTCCCACTTTCTCTCTTCCTTAATGAGGACAGGAAAATAAGAGTCTTGGCGCTGCATTAAATCCTTAGCATTTGTTTTCTAATGAGCTCAAGGCCATTTTGTTACTTCAAACGTCCCTCCACCAGCAGATCTTTCACTTTCTACACCATGTTCCCCATTGCTGCTTCCAAGTACCAGAACCACGCAGGGAAGCCGAAATTGACAGTGAAGGACAATGCCAGTTGGAGCCCTTGACCATGACCTTTTTTTCTTGCCTTACTATGTGACTTGAACAGGCAATGTAGCCTGCGGGGGTGGGGTGGCTGCTGTGCCAGCAGCCATTCCCTGGGAGAGACCTCTCCTTCAGCCCTTTACAATGAAGGCTGAGTGACAGACGTCTGACCATAGAGCCCACCCTGCGTTAGAATGAAAACCACATCTGGAACACTCCCCTTTGCACCACCCACCTGGTGTTTTTGGTTTGCTTCTTTTGGGGAAATAAAAATAAAGCAAACCAAAGACTGACCGTAAGAATAGCCCAGGCTGATTCTAAAAAGTGCAGAAAAGTCTGTCAAAGTAAATTGAAGTTACCAGCAATGACCCCTGTACACATTTTTACCCCTTGGCTCTGAAGAGTCTGCTTGTTGTGAAAAAAGGCAGACCCACAGTTTTGCTGTTATCATAAGGCTGAATTAACTCTAACAACTTCAGTACACCTTTTGTCTTTTGAAACACGATGAAATCAGATGGGCTAAGTGGACAGGGCAAGCCATTGGTCTGGTGTCCAAATCAGAACAGAGTGATTATCATATGTACACTGGTGGTCAGGAAAAGCCACTGCCTTTGCCTGTCACTGTCTCTGTAAAAACTATCTGAGACACGGGTAACCTGGTTTGCTGAGCTCCATCCCTGGCACCTCTCCTCTCCCTGGCACTTGCTCCTCTACATTGTATGTCTCCAGCTTGGCTTTTGTCTGTGTGATTGTCCAGTTTGTTTTGAAGAGAAGGCTACCTCTCCTTTGCCTGGCTCCGCCTCAGCCTTCTCCAGGTGCTGGGCTGCATGAATGTGCCTCTGGCTGCTCCCTCACTCAGCACGTTAGCAAGATGCCACCTCTTCCTACACGCTGGACAACTTTGTGCTCTATAGGTAAAGATCGCTCAGCTGATACTTCTGAACTTGCCAAAACTATGTCTTCCATATTGGAAACTTTTATGCCATTCTCTTGAGTCTTATGATGATAAAGCATCTTAGTTACCAATCTGTTGAGTTTGTTATCCAGCTTCTGATGAGTATTTAAAATTAGATTCTACAGTGAGCAAGAGTCCTGTTTCCAGGCTATGTATTTTGCTCTGAGGGTGGTTTCCCCATCAGGCCCATAGGGAAGTGCTGGATGGACAGTGTTCTGTCCACCACATTTCAAGGGTGATGTGATCAAAAGAATTGCACAAGATGCTCCAAAGTCAGGCACTGCCAAGTGTTCACAGCTGTGTTTGAACAAATAATTCTTTCTTCAGTTTCGGTGACCTTGACATGAACTACTGCCAGGAAGCCCTGTACACTGTGCAGAAGCATGAGTCCAAGGCCTGTCTTTGCCACTCACTAGTCCCTGACTTTGGTATATCACTTACCTTCTCCGGGCCTCAGTTACTTCATCAGTTGAATGAGGGCCACTGCACATCGTCTGATCCATGGACACTATCCTTACCATCTGCTTAAATAAAAGAAGCAAAAAGTATTCTATAGGTGGTTTTGCTCAACCAATGGCATGGGGTCATACTGAGGCTGGAATATGACTTTTTTTGAGTTTAGAATAGAGAACAGATTTGAATAGCTGAGGAGGATCATATCAGAGAATGTTAACAAGGGATTTCTTTCTTGTTTTCTTTTTTACTTCTCTTGTTTCATTCTAGGAGACTCAGGTAACCTTCTCTGCAGTGTTGCTGGACAGTTGATGCTGGAGAGAATGAGCAGAAGAGTTGCTGGCTGGGGGTGTGTGTGTGTATGTCTTGTTGCGACTGTGACATCTTTCCTTCTCTCCATTCCATTTGCTGGCCAGCAAATTTGGGTTTCATCCCTTTCATGCCTCTCTGGGCTGCCTCAGGTAAGGTCTGCAGTCATTGCTTCAGAGGGTCCCAAGAGGCTCCACAGTGGGATTTCTCACCCACGGCATATGCATAACCCCTGCGTACACCTCATATTTACTGAGAAAAGAAAACCTGCCAAAATAAGTATTTTAAAAACCAAACTCTAGGCAGGCACTGGTGGCTCACGCCTACAACCTATCTACTTGGGAGACTGAGATCAGGAGGATCACAGTTCAAGGCCAGCTTGAGCAAATAGTTTGTGAGACCCTAGCTCCAAAGTAACCAGAGCAAAATGGACTGGAGGCATGGCTCAAGTGGTAGAAAACCTGCTTCGTAATGGTGAAACCCTGAGTTCAAATCCCAGTCCCACCAAATAAATAAATAAACAGATCAATAGCCAGATAGATAAATAAGCCAAACTCTACATGAATTATGCTATTGTCAACCGAGAACTTTGTCTGAAGAAGCTGCTTATCTTAAACAGAAATTGAAAAATTCACTGACTATAAACACTGGGGCAAGCGAAGAAGCAAATGGTCTTTCTCATCCTGGTTATGGTACTTGGCCAGCAATTGTTATCTGATGTCTCTCTAAAGTGACAGCAGTGGCATCAGTTCTCGATTTAGGAAGAAAACTTTCATGGGAAAATTCTTTACTTCTATTTCCTTCCTTAAATCATCTCTTCTTTCTTCTTTTCCTCTTGGCCTCTTTTCTTCTTCCAGTTCCTCTATTCAAAAGTGCAAAGAGCCATTTTCACTTGTAAATTTTAGCAATTTTTATATAAAGAGACATTGTTTGCTTAGACAGCATCATGAAGTAGTAGGCTGAGCCCTAAGAATGCCTTCAGTTAAATGAACTCCAGAGAACACAACATCCTGGCATTCTTAGCACACACAGCATTTACTCAATATATTGAATAAATTTCATCCTTCCTTTTTTTTTTTTTTAATTTCACTGGAATTCACCAGAAATTGAAAAAGAAATCAAAGTAACTGAGTGGTCATGAAAAATTATTCTGACACCCTGGTGCCAGACAGCCACATTTAGAAAGGTACATTCTTGCTGGTTTTTAAGTTGAATTTATCATGTGTATGGTCTCTTTTAATGAACACTGATCTTTTCATTATGCTGAATCTGAATTGCATATCTTTGTGGTGTTAGCTGCACACTCGTATCCTTTGTAAAATTCCATTTAGTTGTGAAGCCTCAGAAATTACATTGTTGGGTAGAACAAGAATTTCTTGTATTAAAACATATGTTCTTCTGCCATTTCATTCATATTTACATTCTAAAAAAAGGTTGAGAAATACTCCATGTTGGAAAAGGTGGACCTCAAACAGAATTCAGAGGGAAGCTGCCGTAAGGCTTGCTCACAGATGTGGCACATTAGGTGTTTGCAGACATGAGTAGCGTCTTCTAAGACATGTGGTATAAATACTGTATACAGCAACCTCACAAGCCCACACTGGATGTATTTTTAGTTCGTTTCACTCTTCCCACTTTCTTTGCAGTAGTCCCTCTCTCTTGTCTTTGTAGAGAGCATCTTATTAAACTGTTTTTCGAAAGTTACCCCCATCCAAATCTATACCCAACCAGGAATTACTGCCATACAGTTACCAGGATATAGTTACAGTTCTGAAAAACTGAAATCTCTGAGTTCTAGGATGACTGGGACATGCATCTAAACTGTCATACTCCAAACTGTGAAGGAGTCTCTATTTAATGATTCTGAAGCCCATAACTATATGATATAAACTGCAAGTATTTAAATGAATAGATTAGAAAAAATTATAGGGGATGAGGGTGTAGCTCACTGGTTGAGCATGTGCTAAGTGTGTGCAAGGCCTTGGGTCAAACCCAAGCACCCCTCAAAAATGAAAATACAGGCATCACTTCCCTTTAGGTGTTAAAGATACATTTCATTCCACATACCTGCCTGTGGGGATTTGACCAACACCTGCCATGAATTTCAAAGATGAGCTCTAAGGAAAAATAAAGCTTATTTAAAAGATGGGGCAGGGCTGGGACTGGAGATGTAGCTCAGTGGTAGAGCACTGGCCTGGCATGTTCAAGGCCCTGGTTTCAATCCCCAGCACCCCACCCCTCCCTCCCCCCACACACAAGATGGGGCTATGCTGAAATTATGTTAGAGCTTTCAAAAGATGGGAATAATGTCCTGACATGTGTCTATATATTCCCTGACCCTTGGAGTTTCAGTGGCCACAAATCCTTGCCCTACCTAGCTTCTGTTTTCTCATCTGTATTTTCTTCCCCCATACACCCATCTTATTAGGAAGTAATATTAATAATCTCAACTTTTTCAAAAAGCACATATTTTCATTAAAAAGCACACATTATCATAAAACTCAAAGAGAAATTAGGCAGGCCCTTCTTAAGTGTGCCCCTTTCTCTAAGAGATGAGGCAATAACTTCTGTGCTCAGTTATTCTAGGCCTGGCTAGAACTTGCTACGAAATCTTTGCACTGCCTGTTGAGTCCAGAGATCCAAGGGGCACTACAGCAAGTGACCAGGCCTCGAAATCAAAATAAATGTGTTTTATGTGTCTGTCCTCTAGAATCTAGTCACTGGAGTCTGTGAGTCAGAGGTTATATTGAAGTGGTGACTAAATTCTCCTAATTAACTAGGGTCTAAAATTAAAAAGAGTTGAAGAAGATCAAACAGAACCTCTTTCTTAGCCAACAGATGAAGAAGTATTAGCTTTTTTATAAATTAGTATTGTGTTAATTCAAAACTCCTAAGTCAAAAGGTGTTTCTTGGGGCTGGGGGTGTAACTCAGGGGTAGAGTGCACGTGCATATACACGTGCACCCACAGTGGTTCCTTCTTTGGTGAGTTGAATGTTTATACGCGACATTCACAAGTACGTAGAGGACATAAAATCACGCATAATCTATGTGTGCCCTGTATATGCAAATATCCTCCCACTAGATGTGTAAGACTGTGTCACATGTTAGCCCCTGAAAGGTAATGATATGTGTAGCTGCTTTTAGAACTGCAGTCCGTGTAAATCCACAGGCACACACTTGCCAGGCTTCAGATTTACCCTCTAGTTTTGGTAGTGTTTTGTGAAGAGCTTTCAGCTGGTTACAAATGTCTTTTTGTTTGTCCCCCAGGATACTATGGGGATGGCCTAAATGCTATCATTGTCTTTGCCGCCTGTTTTCTGCCAGACAGCAGTCGGGCGGATTACCACTATGTCATGGAAAATCTTTTCCTGTGAGTGATACTTATGACGAAGTGCTTTGAATTAATGTCTGTGGGCATGGAATGGCACATAAATAGAGCGCCTTTAATTGAGGGGAACCGATGATGGAGAATATTCTGAGTCTTTGATAACAAGTAAGATTCCTGTCAAGGAACATTGCTGAAGAGGCTAAAGCTTGCTAAGCAACTTGTCTGTGGAAGAGGTGGAAACCAAATGAGCAGAACTTGGCCTGTATTTAAAACCCTTAGAACATTTCCTTTGTCAAAGCAGTGTGTTTATTCCCTGGTAAAATCTTCTTAGTTGACTGCTAATAGCCTGACTTTATAGCTATCTGCCCTTGTCTAATATGAATTGCTCAGAACGTTTGATAATATCGTTGACATTTTGAAAAGTCAGATTTTTAACCCACATATTTTTGTAGGGTAGCTGCATTAAAAAAAAAAAAAAAAAACAGATAACCATACAAATAAATGAGCAATTCTTACTCTCTAAGAAATGATCTCGAATAACTACATTGTTCTCGAGGTAAAGAGATAATATGCACAACTGTTCTGAAACATCATTCCCTCTGTAATTTTAATACTACATAATTATGATATAATAGTCCCCGTGTTGGGACTGAAAGCACTCCTCTTCCTTCCTGTGATCAGATACGTGATAAGTACTTTAGAGCTGATGGTGGCTGAAGACTACATGATTGTGTACTTGAATGGTGCCACCCCGAGACGGAAGATGCCGGGACTCGGCTGGATGAAGAAGTGCTACCAAATGATCGACAGACGGTAGGTGGGCTTCTTTATTTCATCACTATTTTGGCTTCCACACCTAATACCCTTTTAGTCTACCAAAAATGCAATCCTTGACTTACACATATGTGAAGCAATAAGTTATGCAGATATTAATAAGACTGTCACTTGATGCCCCAAAGCTGAAATAAAGCAAATCCTTCTCAGATTTTGTTGAATGTAACTTTTCCCAATCCGGCACATCAAGTCCATTTTAAATTGTGCCTGTGCTGTTGCCATGTGGAGGTGCAGTTTGAGTGGATAAACCCAAATCCTCGTGATCCTTCAGTGTCAGGTGTCAGGTGACTGGGCTGCTCTTTGTATGCCCTGCGCTGATGGGATTTGCACAACCATTGTACTCCTACTTCCTGCCAGGTCAAGGTGATCGCTAGCCTGTGCAGAGTCTTTGTAGCCCTCCTCAAGGTGCTGTACTTCTAAATTGGCCTGTGCTGGCAACTGTTGGAGGAAGGTTTTGGGAAGAGCAAGTTCATGGCACTATTGTCTCTCGTTTGAGTGGACTTCTTAAATTTCATAGTAAACACTTGAAAATAAGAATTTTAAAATGTGAAAAAAAGATATTGTATCTCAGCTCATACAGGTTTTGTCAGAACCAAGCACATTATTGCCATATATTGGAAAACTGGTACAATAAAACATACAAATAACATGAGAATGCTCTGCTATATTAAACTGAAATCTATTTTATGTGCAAAGCATGGTAGTGGATGCTTGTAATCCCAGTTACTCAAGGGGCAGAGGTAAGAGGATTCAGTCTGAGGCCAGTCCAGGCAAAATGGCAAGTCCTTATCTGAAAAATAAACCGAAGCAAAAAAGGCTGGGGGTTTAGTTTAAGTGGTAGAGAGGCTGAGTTCAAACCCCAGCACTGCCAAAATAAATCTGTTTCATGACTCCAAAGTTAATGAAGTAACATCGTGAGTGATGAAAAACCTGTCCAAAAGTCAAAAATTGCTAAAATGGTAAATTTTCTTTATACAGAAGAAGAAACCGAGGCTTATTAAGATCAAATAGTTATCTAAATAGCTATTGAGAGTGTATTCTTTTCAAAATCGTAAAGATAATACTGACAAAAGGATAAGCCCCATTAAACAAAATATGGTTATAAATTTATGCAGTCCAATTAGACTTGCATTCTATTACATTTGGGAAATGAGGTTTGAATCATATGAGTTTCAATTATGCCTTAAAAACCACTTCTTAAATATTAAACATGGGCTGGTGGAGTGGCTCAAATGGTAGAGCACCTGCCTAGCAAGCATGAGGCACTGAGTTCAAACCCCAGTACTCCCCTTGCCCCAAAAATAATCAATCATAGCCATTCTGTACCTTCCTGTCACAAAACTTTCCTAGACGCCCTAATATTATCAATATTCTTATCTGTGGACTTATTTTGTTTTAATTCCCACAGATAATGTATTTAATTTCCAGTTAATAGTGTCTATAGGTTTTTTCTTTTTTCAAAACAGATTGCGTAAGAATTTGAAATCATTCATCATTGTGCATCCATCTTGGTTCATTAGAACAATCCTTGCTGTGACACGACCTTTTATAAGGTATAGTACCTTCTTAGTGTAGTAAAAGTAAAAAGTGTGCTATTAGTTTTTAAAGTATGTAAATTGTCCTATAAATAAGAATTCGTTAGCTAAAAGCATCTACGAGAATTTATTTTGCCTCTACTTTTCCTGAGAGGATACTTTAGACTATGCACTGAGTTCCTAATTAGCTGGCCGTGGTGGTGGTACAGGCCTGTAATCTTAGCACTCGGGAGGCCAGAGGATTAGGAGTTCAAGCCATTCTGTGTTCTGTAGCAAGATCCTGTCTCCAAAATAAAAAATTTTTAAGTTCCTAATTAAGAGTAAGAATTAATTCTTAATCAGTATTTCCCCTGGTTGTATAAAACATGACCTGCAAATTGCTTCCTGTAAACATGGAGCATGAAGTGATAAGATTTCCATGCCACATAGAAAGGGGAATAAATATTTTTAAAGTAATATGTTATTCTTTTAGAGAATACAGATGTATAACATGAGAATAGAAAACAGACTGCCAGGTGCTGGTGGCTCATGCCTGTAATCCTAGCTACTCAGGAGGCAGAGATCAGGAGGTGTGCAGTTCGAAACCAGCCCTAGGCAAATAGTTCTTGAGACCCTATCTCAAAAACACCCAACACAAAACAGGGCTGGTGGAGTGGCTCAGGTGGTAAGCACCTGCCTGGTAAGCATAAAGCCCCCATTATTGCTAAAAACGAAACTAACCAAGATCAGAAACAGGAAACTAAATTGTGGCATTTCTTCTAAAAAATGTATCATCTAAGACACCAAACATAGGCAAAGGATCTGGGAAGCCATTTTGAAGGCTGTATTTTGATCAAACATGGAGATTCTTGGTTCATTTCGGTGAACACTTATTCATCACTTACTTTGAATTAAGTGCTCTGTAACCTTAGATCTTGGGGATGTAGAGAAAAATAAGATATTGCTTATAAATAGTGAAATGAAAGGGAGAGTATTTTCTAGAGACCTTTATAAAGATAATGGAATAAAGTCCTATCTACCACTGAAATATATAAATTTAAATTTTCCTGTCTCAAAGTTATTAGTGAATTCCCCAAGAAAAATTCTGATAACTTCTGCAGAAAAAAATTAAATGTTAAAACAGAGAGGAGCTTGGTGGTCACTAGAGCCTGGGGCTGGGGAAAGGTTCAAAGAACACAAAATTTCAGTTAGACAAGGAATATGTTCAAGAGGACTATTGTATAGCATAGTAACTCTAAATTAATACTGTATTATATTCTTAAAAAGTGTAGATTATAAGTTCTCACCACAAAAAAGTGGAAGTCTAAGCTCAACTTAGAATTCTACAATGTATACATATTTCAAAATATCATGTTGTATATAATAAATGTATATAATTTTTTATTTGTTAATTAAAAATAAGACAAAACAACAACAAAGTAGCATCTGGCCCAGTAGTAACTACTCAAGTAGTGTTAGTAAGAATGCTGGGGCATTGCGCTGGGTTATAGCTCTGTGTAACTCAGTGCTTAGCATGCATGCTTGCCTGGGTTCGAGCCTTATCACCAAAAAAGTAAAAAGCAAAAAAGATTTGTAAGAAGAGACAGTGACTTCAAAAGACAGTCATAGCAACTTAATGATACGGGTTTCTTTTTCTTTTTTTAGTTCAAAATTCAGCAGTAAGATTAAATATGTGAGTAGCTTATCCGAGCTCAGTGGGCTGATCCCAATGGACTGCATTCATATTCCTGAGAGCATTATCAAGTAAGTCTGATGGTTTTAAAGAATTGGTAAGAAATTATAAGGGAGGGGATAGGGGTTGGAGAAATTCTCACTTCTAAATAGTGGGGAAATGGCATTTTATTTTTAAAATGAAGATCAAATATGATCCAAGAAATGCAGTTTTTCCGCTATTACCTAAAGATTACTGTTCTTTCAAATCCTTTTATATAATCGTCTCTTGGGATCATTAGCTATTTAATTATTCTTCACTTTTACCTTGAATTTTGCTTCTTGGAGGAAGCATAAATTTAATATTAACCAGTATATTCACTACTTGTGACCCCCCCCACACACACTCTGCACAGAAACACTAAGATCTTAGCATAGTTTGGATTTTTTTATTACCTTGTATAAAGTAATTTGTCCATATGATCCCAGGAAAATAGAAAAAAAAATAGTTCCTTCTCTGTTTTTTTTTTTTTTTCCATGATTCCCTGTAGGTTCAAGATTAGGTAGAGGCATTTGCCTGGTGGTGGGTGAGGTGGTTAGAAATAGTTTCTTTGCTCCTAAGTATAAGGTAACACAGCTGCCTGTGAGAGGTAAGCAGGAGTATTGAGGTGTTAGGTTAGGCTTCAAAATTAAGAGTTAAAGTTAGTAAGTACTTGGAGCAAGGATGTTAAAGCAGGTATACTGCTATCTGGTGCATTGCTGTGAAGAACCATTATTTTCTGCATATCATGTTTTTTCTCCCACTGAGAGAAACTTATTGAGAGAGACTTGAGCATCAGCTCAAAGGAACAAGACAACTATTGCATGTCTTCTACAGGACAGACAGCAAAATGGACCTCCCAATTTGGGCTTCCAAAAAGAGTCCTCTCACTTAAAAAAAATACAAAGAAAAGACACCGAAATTGGAAGGAAAGGATCATTTAATGTGTGCCCTTGCTGCATGATGTACCAGCATAGACAAGCTCTGTTTGTATCATTTATTCAATTCCCATAGTAAACGCCATTGTACAGGTGCAGGGAAGATAATTTTAATTATAGAAAGAATGAGGAGCCAGGAAGACATGGAACTAGAATTCAAATCTACGTCAGCCTGGCACCAAAGTGCCCATGATCATTTCTTGTGGATTCCTTCTCTCTCTCAAAGTGTCCACCTTAATCCAAAGCTCAAAAGTAGATGCATTTGGTTTTTCTCCATCCTCCAAATCAGACATGAACAAGGACACTGATAGACTTACAGTGGTCATTTGGCTCAGCTGAATCAAGCAGTGTCCATAGGATCCCAACGATGCTGTCACTCCTCATCAGCTTCACCCAGTTCCCACAACCAGCATACCTCATGACTCAGGTCTGTTGTCCCCAAGAGGTACATCCATCTCCAACATTCACTCCTACTCTTTAAGTAGAAAAAGTGTTGGCCACCCACTTCTTTACAATGCTGACTGCCTTTATAAAAGATGACAAGGCCATCTGTTTCAGTGAAAAAGAACATTGGCCTCTTTCTAGGTAAATACAGTAATGCTTCTGTGGTGTGGTGGAGGCAATAGAGTGAGAAGAGAATGGACTTTGGATGAGATTAGATTAGAAACTTCCCTCCTCTTCAAAGTCTCTGAGATGTCAGGCAACCTTTAAAATTCTCAGAGGCTCGGCTTCAGCATCTGTACAATGAGGAGGTAATTCACACTTCATGGGATGGTTCTAAGGATTGATGAAAACTATGCACAGAACACACCGGGGAAGCCCTGGGCACAGGGCTGGCGATCTAGAATGTTCCTTGGTGTGGAGACTCACTAAAGTATGGAGGAGTTTAACTGAGAAGTTGAACATGATCAGAGCACTTTTCATTAGTCTCCACACTTCAGTTCTCAAGGGCTCCATTTGGGAAAAGTTACTTCAGGAGAGTTCACTGGTTGTGATTTTCTTCTAGAGGAAGAAACTTAGCACTGTGGATGTTCTCCCCACCTGTCTGCGTTCTCTTGAGTCTTCTGTAATCCATCTCCTCAGGGGGTGTCCTTTCTGTCACTAACATTACTGCCCTCCTTGCCTCATTTTCAAATTGTGCCATTTTCAAATCGATACAAGCCATAATGCCTACCTGTTACTGAATAACATTCAAAAGATCAGATCTCAGCCTATCCCAAGACCAGTATTCAGCTGGGATGGAGCCTGCCATCAAAGGGCTTAAATGATAGAAAAAATTGCCCAGCCTGGAATCAAATTTATAATCATTGATTACAGTTGGTTCTCATTGTTTGTGGCAGTTATGTTCAATAAAGTCACTGCAAAGACTTAATTAGTCTATACTAAATATTCCTGTAGGCCTCTGCTCACAACATTCTCATCAATCATTACAGAAGCTTGCTTTTGTGTGTTTCTGTTTCAAGAAACTCTTTTAGTATTTGTTGTTGACCGTTAACATTAAACTCAAACGCAGCAGCACTATACCTTGTGCCTAAACAAATCTTATGTAACACATATATTCTCTGCGAGGTATGTCAGTCTCCTTGCACTTTCCTCAGGACTGTGCTTGAGGACAATTTGAAACAGCAAAATTACCAACAAAAGGCACGAAAATGAAGAGAACCCATCACTGAATAAATTGAGAAAAGAACACTTGTTTACAGTATAAAACTAGAAGGTAGAGCCTCAACCCGAACTCACTGCGGCTGGGGGCGACTCAAATTTTGTACCACCCTGTACATGTCCACGAGTGACCTAAGAGGTGTTGCACATTGGTTCTGAGGAGGGGGTTTTAGTGGACAGATGGGTTTACAAATATGGAATCCACAAATAATGTGGATTAACTGTGCATATTCATCAATTATAATCACTGATTATGTTTATGAAAATAAGTTTTTTCCCCAAAGCCAATTTGATTATTATTTGCATAGGCTTTTTCCCCCCATGTCTGACTGTCATTTACTACATTCACCTGTCATTTTTTTTCCATCCATTTGCTCATTGTTCCTCACGGCATCCGTTTTTTATCTCATAAGGTACGATGAAGAGAAATCTTATAAGAGAAGTGTGAGGTAAAAAGCTCGTGTCTGCAGTCACGCTGGACCCCCTGTGTGTGCACCCCAGTGTTTTATTTGTGGGTGACCTCAACATGCTACCAGAGCAAGAGGTTGTTGTGTCAGTCCTTTGTATCCCATTTCCGGTCTTTGTCCTGTGTGTAAAGCTGTTGAGGTCAACCTGATTTGCTCCTGAAAGCCTCTAAACCAGAGACACCCCTGACTTGGCTCAGGCTGCAAGCTAACTTTAACTGTACTCAACACATGGATGTGGATGGTTTCAGCTTTATTCACATAGCATGTTTCTGATCCCCTTGCAACTTTTATATCTACCTTTATGAAGGAATTTGCCCAGTAAACACACACGGGCACCCAATGGGAGGAGATGACACTGTAAAAGTGTATACACACCACTTACGTTTGGCTGTGCTTTGCTCGGTGACTCTCTCATGCTCTGCTTGCTTCCTTTTTGTTTCTTTTCGACATCGATAACTTTTGCTCATGCAGACTGGATGAAGAACTGAGGGAAGCATCAGAAGCAGCTAAGTAAGACTTGGGTTTCATCTCGCAGCTGGCGTGATGTTGGCTTGCATTTCGGGACTGAGTGGGGAGAATCTGCATGCATGGCATTTTGTTCTTGCATCTGATAATAGTGCTGCACTGTAAAATCCCCTTTCTCCCGTGGTAAATGCAATCCTACTATTTTTACTATAATGTATTTCCCCTTACTGTTGATTATCTTAAGGGAAGCATTTGTCACTGTTTAATTTAAAAAAAAAATATGCATGCAATTCTAGATACCATGATAAAAGAACACGTCACAGGCACTGCCATAGAAAGTGTGACAACCCAGATGGTGTTTAGATATATGGAGGTGACAGAACCTCACTAATTTACATTTATGAAGAAAGTGATAGCAAGTAAAAACCACAAAGATTTTCGTAGAATGAATTTCATGACCTTCCAACAACAACATCTTATTTAGTGACTAGGAAATCTTCCTTAATGAGTTTCCACATAATTTTGATAGATAGTGGGAAAAAAAGGTCATTGCTCAGTATTGTTGATGTACAGTGTTCAAAATGGTGAAGTCATAACTCTTATGAAAATATAAAATGAACACATGCCAATGAAGTCAGTTTGAAGAACATTTGAGAAAGTAGGCACCTGTATTCATCCCTCTTTGATACGGTGGATTTATTTCAAGACATTCCACAGATGCCTGAAACCAGAGATAGGACCAAACCCTGTATATACTGTGCTTTTTCTAGTTCAACATACCTATGATAAAGTTTAATTTATAAATTAGGCAGAGCAAGAGATTAACAATAACAACTAATAACAAAATAGAACAATTACAACAATACACTGTAATTATAGTTATTTAAGGCTTATGAATTATTTATTTCTGAAAATTTCTATTTAATATTTTCAGAACATTTTGATCACTAGTAGCTAGAACCATAGAAAGTGAAATTGCAGATGAGAAACACTACTATATAGGCAACTTATAGAAGAATGCATGGATAAGTTTGTTGGAGTGGAGAGGAAATTGGTTAATGTCCAGTAGGGTAGTAACTATAATATTGTGTTGTCTTTTCCACTGGACAGAAAGTGTCTGCAGCACTGCAGACATAAATCTACAAGTTAACCTCTGCTCTACCAGAGCTGTAAAATAGGCTGAGAAAGTCAGCCCAGAACTTCTCTGAAACCATTCCCAGTCATTTCCTTTCCTTGTTTCCAAGTTGCAAAGAAATTTTCTGACACTGTATTTGTTAAATGCTCACAAGTACTGTTTGGAAACTGCTGTATTAAGTACATGGAGCCTCTTTTCCCATTTCAAATGTTGCTTACACTATTAATTTTTATAATAAGTTCTCATTTCAGTAGATATTATAAAAACAGAAAGCCTGGACTGTGTCCAAATGGCTACAAATTCTAAATAAATACAATCTAAATAGTGAAGTTCTCCTGCTTAGTTACACATGCCAGTTGTTCTTTAAAACAATCCATTTAGATAATTTTTCCTATGACACATCTTTATTGCAGGTAATCCATAGAATTATTTGCCTATAATGTGGATCTTTGGTATTAAAAATTAGGAAAGGTTTTGCTTTAGAAAATTTAGCGTAAGTATAGTTTACTGTTACTATATTGCTGTCCTCTTTCTTTCAAGATAACTGACACCCCTTCAGGTCAACAAGACTGAAATATAACACTTTTTATTCTAACAGAATCTTTTTAATTTCTAACTCAACTATATCAACTACGCAGTTGTGGAAGTAAGGAAGATATTGGAAGTCAAGGAGCCAAATGTTAGTGTAAAGTGCCCCCCCGAGCATTTATCTGCACTCACATTGGCTTATCCATAAGATTCCCCAGAGACAAAAACCTCAGTGAGTTACTTTCAGGTTTAGTTTTTCAGGAATAACACATTTATGAGATTAAGAAGCTATTTTCAAAACACAAGATCAAGAGGGAACATAAATGATTTTCTAGTCAAACATAGGTATGACTGTCACAAAAGTCATATTGCCTGTTTTTTTCATTATTACCATGAAATCTTGCCTCCTTCAATGGATTTTCCCCCCTCAGCACTGACACTCTTCCTGTTGCCAGAATAAAACAGTTTCTATTTTGGTTTAGTTGGGTAGCATTCTCTCTCTTTTTTTTTTTTATCTCAAATCCATCATTTCCTTTCCTTCCCTCCCCCTCCCCCAATATCTAAGTGGTTCAGATGGTCCTTAAAGTCTTGATCTTTAAAAAAATAAAAGTCTTGATCTTCTTCTAAAGGAAGTACAGTGCTCTTGCCTAGCACACACAAGACCTCAGTAAACTTATGCTACATCAACTAATGACAGCATGATAATAAGTTCATTGTTGTTGAGCAGCAACTCACAAACTTTACTGCACATCAGAATCACCTGGAGCACTTCTTGAAAGGACTCTCCTGCCCTTACCCACAAAGTTTCTGATTCTATAACATCTCTGCCTTAAAAGGAAATGAAAATAATTAAATTTATCTTAGCAGTTCTGTGCTCTTTGCTTCAGATTCAGTGCCTAAGCTATTTGCAGGAAGAATCAATCTCCAATTGATGCTATTTCTTTTGGTGGTTGAAGTTGAAAACTATTTGCACTTTTAACTATGTGTAAGGAGAAAGCCTTGGGCTCTTTTGACCCCACAGGGGATTGGAATGCCTCAGAATCCTACCATTTCAGCTACCAACTTTGTCTCCTTAACTACCTTAAGGACTTAGCAGCCCTTAAGCCCTAGGAAGACTCTATAGGGTGAGTTTTTATTCAGAAAACATGATCCCTAGCTCTGTGATTAGAAACCAGACACACCCAGATTCTTTCTGTTGATAGATGTGTCCTGACTTTCCACATGACTTTATTAGAAAGCTTCAGGCTGGATCTAACCAAAGGCAAATATATACTTTTATCAAAGAACAAAACCTCTCTGTCTATTGTGTTGCTTCTGTCTACAGTGTTTTTAAACCACTCTCCCTCTTCCCTCGTGTACACACACACACATGAACACACATACTCAAATTGCATTCACCTCCAATTGACCTTCATGAGGTGGTCTGCTCCACCTGGATATCTTTTCTTTAGAACCTCAAATCTATACAGGGAAAGACAATACTTTCAGAGGATAAATTGTATAGACAAACCCCATTCTTGTTTTGCAAGTGAGGAAGAATCCATCTTCTGTCTTTGGAGTGGCAGTATGAAATGGTTTGCAAATTGCTGTTTTCTTTGGAAGGATTACTCAAAGTTCAAAATGCAGAAAGACTGTGCTTGGAAGAGCGCCCTTCCTGTTTCCATTCCAGCGTTGTGAGATTTTTCTAGCACACTGTCAACATTTGACTGTCCTGGTTCACTAGGGTTGTCAGATTTTCTCCATAAAAATACCAGACCACCAGCAAGAAGCATGGGGATTGGGGTTGGGGCCTTTCAAGGGAGCCACTGCCCAGGGAAATAGCCTCTTGCCATTTTCAACAAAATATCTACCTTAGTCACAGAATCTTTCATGCATAAACAGATAAATCAACTTGTGAAACTAGTCACATTACAAAAGGAACTCTCTTGCACCGAAAAGAATCATAGAATCCTTTTAGTGTTTTCCAGTGACAAAATATTTACCTGAGAAGGAAAAAAAGCAAAACTTGTAGTGTACTAAATATTAGCCAGGAGTGAATATAAAGCAAATTTGAAATTTGCCGACAGAAAAATCAAACCAGTATGGAATGCTGATACAGATACTATTAGACAAAAGCCTAAAACACCATCAGAAATTTTATTTCATTATTTTATACAGTTACAGTTTTCTTCATAGACCTACTTGATTTAGGTTAGTGTTAGGATTCACTGCTATTACCTGAACACGACTCACCTGTATACAGTGGTAAGTGTCCTGTAAACTTTTCTGTAACAACAAGAAGGAAAGCATTTTTCTTTTAGTGGCTTGGAAAATCCTCATTCTTGTGAAATCTGAAAGCTAACTGCATTTATGTGTAGACAAAATTAGACAGCTTGAGAGGGACTTTCCTTTGTGTATAAAATATTTTATTATTTAGCCTACAAATAAATTTTGGGAATATTATGTTCCCTGAATAAGATAGATTTGAAAAGTCAGGGGAAAAAAATGATCAGGACAGAAAAGACTACTGGAGCTGTTTGGGATTTTTAGTCTTCCCTATATATTTCTAAATCATGGATAATGACTATACTTCAAAATGAGCCACAGGTTAATGGCATCTGTTCAAGTGTGAATTTGGGCCCATTTTAAACAGTTTCAAATGCCCCAAACCAGTGATGCCAACATGGTGGGAAAAGTAGAGAAAATGTTGAAAATGTTGACTGCTTCCCATTTTTTCCTTGCACTCAGAACTAGCTGCCTTTACAATGACCCAGAAATGACTTCTATGGAGAAGGAGTAAGAATTCACCATCAATATCAGCTATTGTATGGTTGGGCTTGAAAAGAAAAAAGTGCATCCAGGATTGGGTAAACCCTGTTTAGATGTTCAGCATTCATAGGTTCAAATCCTGAAATTAGAAACTTGAAGAGAAATTTGCCAGCTTAATACCATCTCATTCGTGATCACCACTCAAGACAACCCAACACTGTTCTGTTTTTTTTTTTCCACTCCAAAAATGGGAGAAAATGAATATTGGGGCCAGATGTAAGAACAGTGGAGTAAGAGGAATGCAACTCTGCCTTCTGAGTTGTGTCTTCTGTTGTGATTAGTGAAAGCTGGAACTGCCACATGATTTAATGTTTTAGTGGGTAAGGGAGAGACATCCTTGTTTTGCAAATTCCATGAGACAGTTGAGTCTGCATGGAACTGTAGGAATGATCGACTTGGATGACTCCCATCCTGTTAGAAATAGAAATCTGAGATGTTTTGAGCACTTAGCATGTGCCAGACTCGATGTAAAAACCTCACAACGAGATATCTTATTTTAATCCTCAGAAGAAGCTTATGAGGAAACAGGAAGAGAGAGATTATCAGTCCAGTGCTTTACAGCCATAAAAATACCCTGCACTTGAAATTTGAACCTTGGCTATGCAGATTGGAAGCCAACGTTTTTCAAATTAGAGAGATGTGGTCTCTGTGCTGCAATGGTGTGCCACTTCTGGGCACCTGTAATCCTACTGTTCAGGAGGCAGAGATCAGGAGGATAGAGGTTCGAAGCCAGTCCAGGCAAATAGTTCACGAGACCCTATCTTGAAAAACCCATCACAAAAAAAAGGGCTGATGGAGTGACTCAAGGTGTAGGCCCTGAGTTTGAGCCCAGTACTGAAAAAAAATTTTTTTTCCTTAGAGAGCAGAGCTAATTGGTGGCCAAGTCAGTTCTGGTGAAGAAACTGTGGTCACCAATATATTTTCAGAGATAATTTGACTATCTGACCAGGAGCTCCTAATTTGGTTTGAGTGGTTTCGAATTTACCATTGTCTGTGTTCCCAGGAATCAAGGCGAAGCAAAGGTCAAATTTAAATATGCCTCTGTTATCACCTGTGTTATTCCCTCATGTTCCAGAGAGGTTGGAAATTCGCAGAGCAGTGTCTCCACAGTTGCCATGTTGACCTTACAGTTTAATGAAAGTTTGGGAATAAAACTTCACAAAGTCCCAACTGAAAAGAACAGAAAGGACAGAGGTTGTCAGGGGACCCTTCAAATCACACAGTTATCTTTCTGAAGGTCATTCTTGCCCTGCCTTTTGAAATGAAGGCAACAATTGCTTCAAGCAAATTGCCATATGAGATTCTGCAAAACAAGCATATCTCAGTCCCTCCAGCCACCACCATTTTTTTTGTGTGTGAGCATAGCACAGTTTTTTCTTCCTTGGCAAAGCAGTTCCCCTTTGAACAGTTAAGAGGGACCACAGTTCACAAACTTTGTAAAAGGCGAGATCCTCCTTGGCCTATCGCTGCTCCATCTCGGGGCTTACCCACTCCTTTGTCTGCCTGTCCATCTGTTTCTTGGGGTATGTAGTGCTGTTTGGGTTGGGAAGAAGGCAGAGTTTTGCTTCTTCCTTGGGTTGCTTTTCTTCTGGAGGTTCATTCCAGGGCTGGGCATGGGGGGAGGGAGGGAAGCTGCAAACTGTTAATATGACTTCCTGCTTCTTAGAAGAGCACATTCCCGAAGCCTCTAGCAGGTGCAGGGTCACCATACCCAGGAGGCCAGATCCCAGATGAGAGGCAAGAGTGGACAAGAATTTTTTCTTTTCTGATTTCCCGCCCTGGACGTTTGGCTTTCTTTAGTACTAGAACGAGGGGCTTCAGTTGTCTTCTGGCTCTCAGGGACAGGGAAGATTTCTGCATGGAAGCATTTTACACCTTCGGTAGCCGAAACTGAATGGATAAACTGCAAACTGGGCCCAGGCTCTTCCAAGGGCTCAGTCAGGCAAGACTGAAAAGAAATGTATGGATTCTGTAGTGACCTGTCATTTTCCTGAGAGAGAAGGGGCAGTTATGTTCATCTCCCCGTCTTCCACACAAAACACGGATGTATTATTCTTCAGTAAACATGACTGCCAGACACCTCATAAGGAACCTCGTTTAAACACACGTTAGAAGTGAAAAATTGGCCTGTTGTAAAATGACAGAAGGTTGTCCTCTGACTGCAAAATTGGTTATAGAAAACTAAACTCAGCTCCTCAAATATGAAGAGTACTCCTTTTATGTCCAGTTGTGATTTAAAGTAAATTTTTTATTCAAAAAAAAGATGCTTTTTTTTTTTTTTTTTTTTTTTAGGAAAAAATAAAACAGCCCCAGTGCTTGTCTCCTTCACTCGTAGGTTTGGACTTAATTTTTTTCATTCATGCCCTAAACTGGTATACTGAGGCTTTTTATGTTTGTACACATATTTTTAAAATTATATGATCAGGGTAGTATCATACATAGCTTCATAACTCCATGAGATAATTGTGGTCTCAAAAATTAATCTTCAGAATGGCTTCCTCTATTAACATTTTAAAAAATTATTCACCTTTGACTAGCTCTTACTTTTTTCCATAAACTGGGTGAATAGATTTTAGTCTTTCAGCTTCGAGGGGGTTTTTTGGGAGGAGAGGAGTTTTTCGTTTAATATATCTGAAAAGAGAATGCATATACAAAGACTTGAGACCTGAGAGAGCATTGGTTCAACACTAAAGAATATGTAAGAATTAGGATTTGGAGCGGGGCACCAGTGGCTCAAGCCTATAATTCTAAGTACTTGGGAGATTGAAATGGGGAGTATCAATATTTGAGACCAGCTGGGGGAAACAGACAGACCTCCATCTCCAAAAATAATCAGAGCAAAACAACCTGGAGGTGTGACTCAAGTGGTAGAGCATCTGCAAAGCCCTGAGTTCAAACCCCAGTCCCACCCAAAAAAAAAAAAAATTGGAAAGATGGAAAGACATATAAGTAAACAAATTTTGAAAATTGGAAACAACAACCAAAATAATCTAATATAATCCCTATTAACATTTATGAGAAGTCTTCATAAGACTCTAGCCATTATTTTTTATTAGAGAGATCCAGCAGGTTGCTCAAGCGTGCTCCATATGCAAGACAGAAAAAAGCGGATTCCCCTGCCTGGTCCCCCAGCCCATCCGCCCCCAGCTTCTCAGTGAAGCAGGCCTGAACCTTCCTCACCAGAAAAAGGATGCCCACCATCCCTCAGGCACCTGGCTTCTTGTACTGCCCCTCAGAGTTCCTCCGAGTGCCAGGTCTTCCCTGGGTTCTAGGAACACCACACACTACTGAGTTACAAAGCTATGCTAATGATATATAAGACAATGACCGACAGTAAAAAAAATTAAATGATGAGTTCAGTCCATTTGGTGTATTTCAAAAGGTGTGATGCTTTTCTTTCATTTGTCAGTGAAAAAAGTTAGAAATTACTTCCAAAAAATTTTTTTAATTACAAATTTCCTTAAACTCACAATCACATATCTAAAAGAAAAAGGGAAGACAGCTTCTACCCATTTTCATGAGTGTCATCAAATACTGGCTCTACTCAAGTGTGGAGAGAAAGGACAGCTTTCAAAAGAAGAGTTTGTTTCTGGAGCACCAGGTAGGAGACACATTTTCTAACACAGATCTAGGAAGCAGAATGTGGAATTAATCTGTACTCCTCCCCTAAGGTCCGCCAACTGGTTATTGAATTAAAAAAAAAAAAAGACTAAAAAACAAACTGCAGAAAACACTCCCCCACCAAAAGGAAGGAGTAAAAAATAATTTAAAACCCTCCTAAGATTTCACAGATTACTGTTTAAAAAGGGACCAGGGAGTGGCTTCAATATTCAAGTCAGTCTATTGCAGAGTAATCATAAGCATGCCTTGCTTTTAAACAACAAACAAAACCTTTTTTTTTTAGAAAAACAAAACAAAAACTAGTACTGATTGCTTTGGGGACGATGTACAATTACCAAAATTAACTAGTGTTGGGAGGGTGAAATGTTTGGGGGGCAGACCTATGGGTCTTGTCTCACAAGCATGCATGTTGGGAGATGCTGGGCATTTGTCATTGTTGCAGAAGCAAATCTTAATTTTTCATCTTTAGTTTGATTCAAACATTGCTTTTAATATGATGCCAACCCAGGGCTCGGGAGAATTGTCCATAGCCACACACACCTGTGGCTCTTCCATTCTGCAGGCTCCAAGGCAGCCAATATTACTTTGTTTGAGCATAGTTAGGCCTTTCTGAGTGCAGGACCCTCCACATACCTGAGAGTCTTTGGATCACCTGGCCTTGCAGCAGTCTCAGGACTAACAGACTTCTACTTGTCCTCGGCCAGTTTCTTCATAATGGAGGGGTCATCTTTGAGATCAGTTTGGGTCCCCGCAGGCAAGAAAGGAGTCTTTGGACAGTGGCAAATTTTTTTCAGGCACCCACTTTCCTTTCATCTTTTCAAATGAAGATGGAGAGACCACTGAAAAACAGATGAGAAATGCATGTGTTTTGTCAATAACTCAGAAGTCATAATCTGTCATAACCTTCTTGCCCTGCAGCATCAAAAAACCCAAGAGTATGTGGCTATGGGGCAACCATGACTGTGACAGCATAGTTGTTAAAACAATGACTTCCCATTCAGATGGCAACTTGTTGCGTAGGACATCAGGAGTCATGTTTTACCAGCAGCGCCATTGTCCACAACTACACAGTTAATTGTCTGCACTTAGGAAACAGTTTTGGGTCCACTTTACATCTTTCAAATTTGCAGCTTTTCTGTAGGGGTCTCTTTCAGCTTTCTGGTCACCAAAAACGGCAGAATGCACTAAATCCCAGGAAGTTCACAAAAAACAAGTCATTTGGAGATGAGCATTCTGGTGTAAATGTTGGCTCAGATTTTTATTAGGGACCCAGAGGGTGACACAAAGTGACCAGGCATTTTAAACTTCATAAAATGGTTTTGAGTATTGGAACCCACAATCAGACTTTTCAAGCAATGCGCCTCAAATTTTGGCTTACTGAATACCTTCTTGGACTGTGAGAGAAACTAGGCCAAGTTCATGAAAGAAAGAATAAAATTCTAGCATCCAAATCAAACCTAATACAAACTTTTGGGTACACAGTAGTACATTTTAGAAGCAAAAGCAAGATTAAAAATGACCTGTTTTGCAAAGGTCACAGTAGATAAAAAGAGGACATCTCCAAAGGAAAATTCTGCAGATAAGAAAATAAGTGGTATTCTTGAGAGCAGATGAATCAGATAACGTCACAATGACCCCTGCACTGGCCCGCATTGACATTCAGTGACTGAAAATTCCCTAAGGAGATAAGGGCATTGACAGTAGAGCAATTAAGTGAAGAGATGACTTTCTATTTCAAAAACCAGAGGTCCTACTACAAATGACAGACATTGGATGTGTTCCACACACAGAGAAAACCCATTAGACTTAAACCTTAGCAAGCTGTGAGAGGTCTGATTGTTGACTGTTCCCATTTACAACATGAAAATGGAAACAGAAGGCTGTGACTTGGGCAAGTCCCCTGAGGCTATGAAGCGATGACATTGCTGAGGATTTCTCAAAGGAAAGATACTCAAAGCTATAAACCAGATGAGTAAGCAACAATGGGTCACCATGGCTGTATTTGCAAAATTTCTAGAAGGATCATTGCTCAGCCCAGCAGACTCCACAAGTAACCAACACACAGCAACCTTTGTGACCTGCAGGCTTATGGCTCAGGAGGGCAGAGATGATCGAACTTTGCACACACTTCCTAAATTGCCCCTTTCAAACTCCATCCCCAGCCCCTACTAGGGATGGAACCCAGGGCCTCATGCAAACAAGGCAAATGCTCTACCACTGAGTTCAATTTTAGGCTAACTCCCTAGATATTTGAGAATGCACTAGACACTTAAAAACAAGACTTTCTGTTTTAAAAAGACTTGTTTTAAAGATTCATTTCATGCTGGGTGCCAGTGGCTCACACTTGTAAATCCTATCAACTCTGGAGGCAGAGATCAGGAGGTCGATGTTTGAAGCCAACCCCAACCAAATAATTTGTGAAATCTATCTCAGAAAAAACCCATCACAAAAAAAGGGCTGGTAGAGTGGCTCAAGTAAAGGTGTAGGCCCTGAGTTCAAACCCCAGCACTGCAAAAAGATTCATTTCATTAAGGTAAATCCTTTAAGTTAAATGCTTGTTCCTAGAAAATGTGGGTTTTTTTGTTTGTTTTTGTCTTTGTTTTGTTTGCTGCTGTGTTTTATTGTTTACCACTTCTTAGCTATTTAGCACTTGTCAGTGCTAAGTATTGCTTATTTCAGGCAGTTTATTTGTTTCACGAGTGTATTAGAGATTTCCAGAGAAACAGAGCAAATACAATATATATAATTATGAGGGAATTTATGAGGTTGGCACACATGATCTCAAAAGCTAAAACACTACACAGTGACCATCTGTAGGCTAGAAAGCCAGGAGAATCCAAAAAGCTAGATCAACATGCAGCCTCAATTGAAGGCAGAAGGCCTGAAAGCCCTCTGGAGGGCTTCTGGGGCAAGTCCATGTTCAAAGGCTAAAGAACCTGGACTGTGATGTCCACAGGCGACAGCAGCAAAAAAAACAACTCACCCTCTCGGAAGGGAGAGTGTGAGCAAGAGAGCAAGCTCCCTGCCCCCTCTGCTTTTCCTTTCCATCTGGGCCCCCAGCCTAGTGGACAGTGGCACCCACATTCAAGTCAGATCTTCCCCATTCAGTTCTCTGACCCACACGCCAGTCTTCTATGGAACATCCTTGCAGACACAACCAGAAGTGTTTTTTACCAGTCTTCTAGGTATCCCTCAACCCAGTCAAGATGACACACAAATCAACCATTGCAACAAGGAAAGGTCATTTACCAAAAATAGACTCGTTATTTCCAAAATGTAGTGAAGTTCCTTATCTGAATTGACTTTAGGAAGAGCCTTAACACGAATCTTTTGCACCCTTGGATCCTTTTGAAAAGGTGTAAAATGCTTCCAGAAACCAGTTTGTAAAAATAAACTGATTCCATATCTTGCAGGAAAGATTGGCAGCTAGGAGGGGATTGTGTTTTGCCTGATTTTTCTAATATATATATATATATATATATATATAAAGAACTTGCATGATTGATTTCCAGTAAGCCTTCTGAGAAAAGAAACCAAACATGGCATGCCACCCAAATCACCGTTGTTTCTCATTCAGTGTGTCTCCCCCCACCCTGCCCCCACTTCGTCTCCTTTCTCTTTCCTTCACAGCATTGACCTGAAGCTGAAAGAAAAGCCCTAGTTGGCCATGGCTGGAGGAAGAGGATGCTTTTTGCTCTGTGGTTCTGCTGAAACATATCTACCTGGAGGAGATGGGACTGATGTTCCTTTTTTTCACTCTGCACTCCTTGGTGCCATTCTAAATTTCTAAGGGGAAAAACAGGAAGAGGATTTGTTTATTCTTAACATGTTTTATGAAATTGTGTGTATTGTCCTATTTTGCCAATTATGTGCCTCAAAGATTTCAGTTGAACCTTAGCAAGAAAGTAGGACCTTCCATTTCAATATTTTGTTAGCTCTTGGTACAGTGGTACTTGATTCCTTAGACTGACGTTTGCCAATGAGATAATTTAAATCTACTGTAGAATATAAGAGGATTTGTTTCCCTAGATTTGCTGGATTTCTTCATGGTGATTTCGTTAGATTTAAAGTACACAGGGCTTGACTCTGCCAGGGAAAATTACTCCCATAACACTACCTTTAAAATGTCTGCTTAGCACAGCCGTAAGCCAGGCACAGGTGTAAAGCCATCATCAGCAAAGGACCCACTTTATCTTATTGACATGAATCTACTTTAACTTCTCACAGGGAAGCCAGGCTTTCTAATGCACATCAACTTCACTATAGTTATCATGCTTTATGCAAATTGGTCTTTAAAAAAAAACAAATCTTTTCTTCAACAAATGTCAAAGACCTTCATATTGCAAAACTTAAGGATGAATGTTGCATTTTTAGTAACTGGCTGTGTTTCAAGCCACAAATAGGGTTCAAAAAGTTATACTTTTAGTGCCAAGGGCGCACGTCTAAGGTTTGCTCACTCTAAAATTATTTGTTAACATTCAGTTATCCAAATTTCTCTCTCACGTGTATTATAAAAGTGATAATCTGATCACAGGTTTAAAATTGCATACTATCCTTTACAAAATAGTTCCTTTTGTAGTTATCATGTGCTCTTTAAAATGACAATGTGAGTTCAAATCCATGGGCCTGTCCAAATCCAGGGCACCACCATAAACTAAGGATGGTTTTCGCATTTGTGGTTGAAAAAAAAAAAAGACTTTAAAAAATATTCTTGACACAAGAAGAATTCAGATTTCAGTATCTATGAAGTGTTATCGAAATACAGCCGTACAAATTTTTTTCCTACTGTCTGCAGCGGCTTTCACACAACCTCTGCAGAGGCAAGCAATTTAACAGACCATACAGGCCACCAAACCTATCTATACAGAAACAATTTGCTGACCCTTCCTCTACCAAACACATCTTTTCCGTCTCTGCCCCCTCTTTGTATTTTAGGGGTGTCTTTGACAAAATGGACAAATAAGACTGCAAACTAATTTATTTTATCCAAAAAGAAATTTTTGACATCTACAGACAGTGAAATAAAACACACATCCTGCTGAGAAAGACAAGGAGTTCTCGTTGTAAAAGTGTTGGTTCCAAGACTGGCGGAGTGGCTTAAGTGTTCGAGTGCTGCCTAGCAAGCGTGAGGCCCTGAGTTTAATCCCCAGTACCACAAATACACACACAAAAAAGTGTGATTTGTGTTGTAATTGCAAGGTTCAAAGTGAAGCTTTCCTCAGAATTCCTCTTGAGAGATTTCCTAATGTCACTGAGATCCTTGTCCTACTCTGGGATCCATTCTTAGCTCCCATTGTCACCTGTTACAAAGCTGGTAGAAATAAAAATGGAAAGAGGAGCCCTATCAGAGTCTCACGGTAGTGACTTCATTGGGAAGAGTTCTTCATTGGGACACTGTGAGGCCCTGGATACAATAGCCCTGAATCACTTTGAAGTAGACATCTTTGCACAGGTGACCTCACTTGCTTCATGTCTTTATCCAACCAACCTTCTACATGTGCTCACACACAACATGCCTGAGTCAGCTCTGTCCATCAGCCTCCATGGTTATCTATGTTTCCCTCTTGATCAATTTCAACAGGTACTTGTTGAACTTTGTCTTCTTTGGCTCTCCTTCCTCGCTATGCTGGCAAAACCCCTAGAGCCAGCCATCTTTCACAACCCCCCCTCCATCTTTGGAAGCCCAAATAATACCTGCCCCAGAAAATAGGGTTGACATAAGCATAGCTACCCAATATTCTGGTTGGTTCATCTCATTAACACTTGGTGCACAGTGGTGTCCCATTTTGGAAGATGAATTACATGGTCCCTCTAGCTATGTTGAACCTATGAAATAATGAGGAACTCGATGTTCAGCTAAGTGTTCCAAACCTGAGGACATGGAGCTCTTCATAGGGCTTTTGTCACAGCCAACAGATGTGGCAACAGTCTTGTCATTCACATTTTCTTTTGAATTTGGAAGACTACTCAGCTTCCCACAGGGAAATTGTGAGCATCCTTCCCAGTCAGTGGTATAGTTTGGGCTATTCCATAGGCTAGGAAACCATTCTGATACTTAGACACCTACTGTTTTATTGTCTTTCAAGGACATGTGAATTTCATTGCACGTGCTAGAGAAAAGCTACCATGTTAAATCAATCCAAGTAAATAGAATCCTAGGCGAATCCTGAAACAATAATCCTTAATCAGATAGATAGGCAGATGTAAACTTTCCCATCATTCCGCTCTTTAGCTCTTGCATTCTGAATATTCTTGCTTTGGTTCTGACTTCTGGGAACTGCTTTGCACTTTTCCTGTAGATTTGTAGTTAAGGGAACCAAGGGGTCTTGGGGACAAAGTACTGTTTTTACCCAAAGTGGCAACTGTTCTTCATGTAGCTCTTGATTAAGAAAAAGAACAAGAGGGCTGGTAGAGTGACTCAAGTGGTACAGCACTTGCCTAGCAAATGTGAGGCCCTAAGTTCAAACCCCAGTACTGCCAAAAAGAAAGCAAGAAAGACAAAGGACAAGAATCTACACAGAAGATATGTAGAGGAGTGAGAACTTTCCAGGGCAGTAGCTAGCTGTGGAAGAAAACCCCAGAGTTCCTGTTGAAGCCATACAATGTTCTATAGAGTTGCTCTAGGCGTCCTCTGAGATGGGTGGGGAAGCCTCCACTCCTAGCCTTCCTTATTAAGATATCACTTAGAGGATTCAGTTACGGTACTTGTGTGCAACCCTTTTCTTATCACAATGCCTTCGTAGTTTGTTCCTCAGAAACATTAGGATGTGCGCAAATTAATCTTTTATATATTTAAAGATTTTTCTACTGTGTATTGGATTGCTCAGAATAAAGTATCTATTAGAATTTGTTTTGTTAAATAAATTCTCCCCAAATAGTGTGGATTAAAAATATGAAAATATGTAATGACACGATATATCTACATAGCTTCTCTGTATAATCCAACAATAAAAATTGATTCCACATGTTATAGCTTCTTTCTTCAAGTTAGCAAAAATCTTTCTGTGGCTTCACTTTGCAGCATTTTATTTGGGCATCAGCCAGCTTGGTGCTTGGTAATACAGAACTGAATATATTTGGGCCTTCCTCGTCACCTCAATTTTACTCTCGCTCCCTTTCTGCCTTTCATGCCTCAGATTGTTTAATCCACTATGCTTTCAAAGTACTTTGTTTATTCTTTGAGTAAGCAATTTCTCTTTGGGCATCCATGGACTCTTGGTATCATGGGTATTGGTTTCAAGGAGACCTCCAGTGAGGAACAACCATGCATGCTTAAGATACACAGAGTTTAGTGCTGGACTGGGGATGCTTGATTCATTTTTCCCACAACTTCATCCAACTTCCACTAAAGACATGCTGCCTGTCAACAAATCTCAAATTTCCACTTTATCACTTAAATTAAACTTAAGCATATTCACTTTTACCTTGCTTTTGAGCGCCATTTGCTTTCTGGAATGCAGAATTACGCCATGAGATCACATCAACTGAGCTGCATGATGCACATGTGGAAATTAAAAGTTTTGGTTTTAAAAGTTTGGTAAAACTTCTTTTCTTTCTTCATTTAATTTATTAGATGAAACTTGGTCAAACGCACGTGTAATAAATATACAAATGAGGTGGGCTTGCTGAATCTCCATGTTTCATAGCTATTTGACTTTGCCAGTTTTCTCTGTCACTTGCCTTTCCATGCATATATTTATTTTTAAATTAAAATTCATTTAGGGGTGGGGCTGTAGCTCAGTGGTAGAGTACATGTTTACCATGTGCAGAGCACTGGGTTTGATCCCCAGCACCACACACATACACACACACACACACACACACACTCCCAAAATGAGAAAACATTTTAAAAAGCATTTTTTGTTTATTTATTCATTTATTCATATGTGGATACATTGTTTGGACCATTACTCCCCTCTGCCCTCTGCCCCCCCTCACCCCGCTCCCTCCCTCTCCTCACCCCACTTGCTTCCAGGCAGAACCTGTTCTGCCCTCTTCTCCAATTTTGTTGAAGACAAGACATAAGCAATAATAAGAAAAACACAGCATTTTTGCTAGTTTGAGATAAGGATAGCAATACAGAGAGATTCCTAGCACTGCTTCCATGCACATGTGTGTTACAACCCGAATTGATTCTTCTCTACCTGACCTCTTCACTACTTCCTGGTCACCTTCCCATAGTGACCTCTGTCATTTTAAGGTTTCTGTATTAATTCCTCTGCAGTGGGGACATCAAACACTTTCAAGTTTTGGGTTTCCTACCTATCCCTATTCCTCCTGTATGTGTTCTCCCCCTAGCGTGTGACCCAAGTCCAATAATATTACTGCATTTATTTTAGATCTAAAGTCCACATATGAGGGAGAACATACAATTTTTGGCCTTCTGAGCCTGGCTAACTTGGCTTAAGATGATGTTCTCCAGTTCCATCCATTTACTTTTGAATGACAAGATTTTATTCTTCTTCATGGTTGAGTAAAACTCCATTGTGTATAAATACCACATTTTCTTAATCCATTTGTCAGTAGTGGGGCATCTTGGCTATTATAAATAGTGCTGCAATAAACATGGGTGTGCAGGTGCCTATGGAGTAACCTGAGTCACATTCCTTTGGGTATATCCCTAGGAGTGGGATTGCTGGGTCATATGGCTGATCTATGTTTAGTTTTTTAAGGAGCCTCCATACTGTTTTCTAGAGTGGTTGTACTAGCTTACATTCCCACCAGCAGTGTATGAGGGTTCCTTTTTCCCCACATCCTTGCCAACATTTGTTGTTGGTGGTGTTTTTAATGATAGCCATTTTAACAGGGGTGGGGTGGGAATTTTAGTGTGGTTTTGATTTGCATTTCATTTAAAAAGCATTTAATTTCAGTTGCTTTTTCTTTGTTTTTTTGGTGGTACTGGGGTTTGAACTCAAGGCCTCACACTTGCTAGGCAGGTGCTCTACCACTTGAGTCACTCTACTAACCCTTTATTTTTCTTTTTAAACTTTTATAACCTTTAGGCACAAATAGAGTTAGGAATCACCACTGTGCTTTTTTTTTTTTTTTTAAACTTAATAAACAGATCTGTACTTCTGCTTCCTGGAAAGTTGTTCAGTGAGCCAAATAGGAAGTTGCTTTACAAAAACTGCGATCTTGCATGTTCTCATGATCTCAGATGAGTTCTGGTGGATATTGTCCTCTATTCAAGAAAGGAAGAAGCAGAAGAAAAGGCTGAGAAGTAATTGCAGGGAAATGAAGACCATGCTATGACAAAGTGGACAATTAATTCATTCTGCTGCCATTACCTGTCTGTGGTGGTGGAAGCTGGAGGCAGGCTAGGTGTCCAGCCCTAAGGGAAAGGCTCGGTAAAACGTGGTGAATACACACTGTGGCATACCACCCAGTTCCAAGAAGCAACAAACCACACATTCATAAAGCAACACTTAGATCACAGGGTAGAGCTGAAAAGGAAAAAACCAACTCAATATTTATGGACTAGTACTATGTGCATAATTTCCAAATATATTCACACACAAGACAAAGCTACATACTATGAAAAACTCATGCTTATTTAAGGATTTAGTGCACTCATTAGAGTGAGTGTAGGATGTGAGATCGGGGATGGAGTTGGGAGCCTAATTAAAAATCAATATCAAAAGGGGTCTTCTGTGGAATGAACTTGTAAATGCTAAATGAAGCAGCTTCAACTTTCAATCCCGGATCTCAGAAAAGCTTTGTTATGGCACTTTGGGTCCCCAAGGGGGACCATTGTACCATTTTGCCACGTTGGCTGAATCAGTGTGTGGCAGCTTGCCAGGACCCGCCCTAGTTGCATCATCCTGGACACTCAGGGAGCTTTTAATTAAGCTGGTGCCTTTTTTGTTCTTTTGATGATAGTGAGGTTGGAACTCAGGGTTTCAAGCTTGCTAGGCAGATGCTCTAACACTTGAGCTACACCTCCAGCCCTGAAGTTGGTGCCTTTTGCCACACTGACCCTCACAAAGCCATGGGCCTTATAGAGCAGGGAAACTGCAGGTGAGGCTCATTTTCCTAGATGGGTTTACTCACACTTGTCCAAAATAACTCTCTTTAACTAGCCAAAATTAACTATTTCCAACATGCAACTAATTTTACTTAGATGACTGACATGAATAACTACTGTCCACTATCTTTCTAGCCTTATCCCTGGTGAGGAACCTATAACTCCTAACACTTGATTGTGGTTTCCTTGTGAAACTCTTCCTTCCTAGAAAACCTAGTTTTCCTGGTGGAGTGACTCAAGCAGTAGAGCACCTGCCTAGCAAGTGTGAGGCTCTGAGTTCAAATCCCAGTACCACACACAAAATCAAATCCAGTGATCATCTTCCTCTTTCTACCATCTTGGAACCTGTGGAGGCCTGCTAGGAGCAGGACTTCTAAAAGGCAAATATGTCTGGAAGACTATGGTACAGGGGAAAAAAATAAAACCAAGTTTTCAATTGCTCCATTAACAAATTACAGTTGATTCTCATTATCCATGGTAATTTACATCCTATAAAGTCAGCAGAGCACAAGTTAGTGCATACAGATCCATTGCCACTGCAGAAAAACAGGGCTAGGCTCCTGTGAGCCGTTAGCCATAACATTTCCATCAACTGATCAATATATAGGCTAGTTTTATGTGTGCTCTTGTTCAAAGACACCTAATATATTGTTAATTTATTAATACCTAATTAATAGCCAACAGCTTGACTATAACTCATGCCTGAACAAAGCTTCTCTAGATACATGTTTTCTCTGTTGACACCTCAGTGGGGCTGGAGGGGTAGCTCAGTGATGGAGCACACGGTCAGACTACTCAAGACCCTGGGTTTGATCCCCAGCTCCAAAAGAGTAACAACAAGTAGACATGTCATATCTTCTTGCATTTAGAAACACTAGACAGCACTTCACTACTATGCTTGGGGACCATTTTAAACAGCAGAAGCACCAACAAAAAGCACACACACACACACACACACACACACACACACACAAATTCATTGAACTAAATAAACTGTGAAAAGGACACTTGCTAAAAGAAAAAGACATAGCCTTACCTGGTTCAACCTCAGGTTCAACCCGAGCCATGTACCTCAGGCCACTCACTTTCTGCCACTCTGTATGTGTCAACAAGTGACTATGAAAGTGTTGTGAGTATTGATTTGGAGGATATAAATAAATGTTATTAAGTAAATTTGTAGGTATGGAACCCATGAATAATGAAGAGCTACTCTATCCTATTACTTAGCAGTCTTGAACAATACACCCTTTTCAGTTTCTGTGTGTCAAAAAGCCAGGTGCTTTTTTGCTGGTCCCCTGCCTCAGGGTCTCTCATGGGTGCAGCAAGGTGTTGGCTCAGGTTTCTCAGTCCATCAAAGTTTCACTGGGACAGAATCCAAGTCGCTAACCTGGTTGCTGGCAGTATTTGGTTTATAATGGTTGTTGGACTGAAGGCCTCATTCCTTGCTGCCTGTTAGCTAGAGGCTGTCCTTAGTTCTTTCCCTTTGGGTCTGTCCAACACAGCAGCTCATTTCATTGAAATTAACAAGACAGATATGCTAACAAGATGGATGGTACAACATTTTTTGTAACATCATCACAGAAGTGACATAAGTTCTGTTGTTTTATTTCTGAAGCAAGTACCTAGATCCAGCCCATACTCCATGGGAGAGTATTATACAAGGTACAAATCCTAAAAATCTGCCTACCATATTTCAGAGCCATCTGCAAATTCCTCTTTTATCCCCTTCTGCTTCCTCTCACCCAGTAGTGCAGGTGTTTCTCCAA